TCGAGTTTCTGAGAAACAAATATTTCTAAAGTATGTGTCCCAAATGTTACATAAGGCACCTAGTCTTAAAAATAGACCTTTGTTTATCTGAAATTCAAATTTAACTGAGTGTTCTATATTTTATTTGGCAGCCTACAAGTTGAGGACTAGAGAGAACCGAGGATTGTTAGTCTCATGGCTTGTAACCTGGGTTGATGGCACACACTTACTGTCTCAGGAGGCAAAGGCACAAGAGTCATGAGTTGGGGGCCAGCCTCGTCTACAGAGATACCCTCTATTAAAAACAAACAAAAACAGATGAACACAACTCAGGATTCCCAGGCTACTTCATACTTCTCCCACATATGCAGTTTGACATCTGGCAAAATCCATGTGTCCTTATGTCCCTGAAGGTCACTTCCCACCACTCTATGACTCCACTTACCCATAACATAGGGAAAAGGATGAGGGAACTTAAGGTCATCCCTTTGAATCTGACATTCTCTTGGACAGATGGAATTTCTCTCTAGAAATGGTCTGTTGTCCTTATTCTAGCTGAAAGAGGAATCTCAGAGATTTGCCCCTAAAGTACAGTTGCACAAACCACGGATATGTGTGATGAGAGTAGTTAATGGGCCAGGCGTGGAGCTAGTAACTCCCTTTGAAACTACTGTTGTCTGGAGACAACATTATGAGCCCCACGGCAGGAATTAGTTTCTGAGTCAGGGTCCAAGGCCTGAATTGTGTTATTCCTGAAGAAATCTGAGGCCAGAAGGCTAGGCACTTGGCCAAAGTGGCTTAGCTGATGGCATACTGACAACAGGCAGCCAGTCCAGATGTCAGCTGAGGACCGAGTAGTCCTGCAAAATGATAATACTGAGGTTTAGGTCTGAAGCTGGTTTCTGTACTAATTTGCCACTTCTCTGTCATAAAGCGGGGGATTTTTTTTTGGGGGGGGGGAAGACGATTTAATGAGAAAACGATGTAGAACACTAGACATATGGCAGTATGTTCCAGGGAAGCAGCTGCTTTACTCCCCCAGGCCTCAGTTTCTCCATCCATATAACCAACTCAGCTACACAGCCCGGGCCACCAGGTGGTGACAAGACCCAAGCCAACGCAGAGCAACTCACGCATGCGCACACCGAGTGGGCGCCGCCTACACGCGACTAACGTCACTTCCGGCGCGAGGGCCGGGCCGGCCGGCTGGGGAGTGCGGGTCTGTTCTGCGCGCGCTGCCAGCCGAGGCTCCTGCCGCCGTGACCCGCGCTCCGCCCGCCGCCGGGCTGGTGAGTGCCCACGAGCCCGTGTGTGCGCCGAGGGGCCAGAGATAGGGACTGGAGAGGGCGAGACCGCCGGAAGTGGGCCAGAGGGGCGGGAGACCCCAGGAAATGGGGACACCTGGGGAGGGGGCGAAGACCGGAAGTAGGGGCCTTGGACCGCTGTCAGCGGCTCGGAGGTCTCTGGGGCTCCGAGAGAGATGGCTTCCTGCCTCCTGTTGTGGACGAGAGGGAATGCTCCAGGGAGAGAGATGACTCCAGGTGGGGAGGATGTCAGGCTTTATCTCTTGTCCATCGTGTCGTTCCCCAGGCTGACAGCCACAGCTGAGCCCTTGGGGATACAACAGGAAGCTGCAGGTGGAAGATGATGAGGCCAGGGTGGGGCTTGACACTTCTTCGCTCTGCCTCAGTGGACAGGGCTTGCCATACTTCCCCTGATGTTTACTGAGTGCTGTCATGAGCCGGCACGGGGTCTTGTGTTGACTCCACAGGCAAGTTCTCTGGCCTGTTGCTATTCACACTGTAGGAGGTCAGTTCCCTCCTTTGTAAAGTGGAAACTGGTGATAATTAGCTCGCTCAGTATTGGGATGATGAAATGTGTAGTTCAGTGGTGCCTTGCATGTGCAAGGCCCTGGGTTTTATCTTCAGCTACAGACACACAGAAAGAAATAAGAAAACGGATGTCCAGTGCGTAGGTTGATTCAAAGCTAAACCCTCAAGTATGTATGACCTCTTTGCATCAGTCCACCGTGATGTAAGCTGCATGAGGCAAGGCCTTATTGTTGTCTGCTGTGTCCCTAGCATCAGTCAGCACAGTGCCTGACACGTACAGGAGGCGAGCAGGAATTCTTTGATAAATGAACGGGTGGGAACTGACTCTGAAGGGTTTTCCTGTAAACACCGGTGACACTGAGCAAAAGTTTCTGAAGACAAATAGGAACCCAGTGCTGTGGGAACCTGGAGGAACTCACCCTGAGGAAGCCAGGGGGGCTTTACAGAATAGATCACATCACAGTTGGGCCTTGAAGATGGATGAGTTGTCCTGTTTGCAGCTAACATGGAGAGGAGCATTCAGTCCATACAGAGGATGTCAGATGTGTGAGATATTCCGGGAATGGCAGATTATTAGTCTGTCTTCCCTGGCAAGGGAAGGAGAGAAAGGAGAGGGCCTTGGAAGCTAATTCTATAGCCTGTGGCACTGCAGTCAGTCTCAGGCAGCGAATTGGAATTCCAGGCACCTACCTGTTGGAAACAGGTTGCCATGGAAACAGCCCAGAGTGGATCCTGTGAGGTCAGGATTGTCCTATCCCTTGCTCAGCACACCTCTGTAAAGTACATTAAAATAAAATATTTTATGATGTGGGGCCTCTATGTCTTAATAGCTTTTTAGGTGGTACATTCAGGTTAATGAACAAGACCTAGGTATCACACACTGATTACCTACACACATGTCAAGAATGGGAGATGTGCTAGTCCACATAGCTCATACCCGGGCAGCTCAGACAGCCTGGAGTCAGTGAAGGCTGACTTTAGCATGTCACTGTCTCTTCTTGCCTGGATTGTTGGTAAACTTTCTACACTAGTGGTCCCCAACCTGTGGGCGGTGATTCACAAAAACCGTTGGAAAACACAGATATTGACATTATGATTCATGACTATCAAAATGATGAAGTAGCAATTGAAATTCTTTTATGGTTGGGGATCCCCACAGCCTGAACTGTATTGAAGGGTCACAGCGTTAGGAAGGAAAGGTGAGAACCACTGCTCTAGGTCATCACTTCCCTGCAGTTCATTTGAAAAATTAAAGTTACTTCTCAGTAGCACTTTCTGGGATGTGTGGGCGTGCATGACAAGGCACACATATGGAGGTCAGAGGTCAGCCTTGGGTTCTCTCCTTCCACCTTTACATGGGTTTGGTAAGTTTTGGAAAGTTTATTTCCACAGTTTGAACTCAGGTAGCCAGGCTGGAGCTGCAAGTGAGCCAATTCTCACCCCTCGTGCATACTTGAGACAATAGAGTTGTCCTTTTAAGTAGAAATTGGATAGTGTCAAACCAGCTCTGCCTTACTCCTCTCAGCACAAAAATTTGAAGTTCTCACTGGCCTAAAGCACCCTAACCACTGGCCCCCAATAGGCTTCTGAATCCGCCTACTTTCTCTCACCTTGCTTCCTTCAATCTAGCTACACTGGGCATCTTGCTTCTCAGAAAAGCCAGGTATTTTCAGATACCTTCCACCACCGTGCCATGTGTTTGGCTTATCCTCTCTTCTGATCTTTGCTAGGGGAACCTTCCCTGACGGCCCTATTTAAAACTGCAAACCTGATCCCACTTCCCGCTTTTCTTCTTCATAATAACGGACTGGCTATTCTGGTTAGAAATGTCTCCCATCTCCACTGGACACAATGAAGCAGGAATTTTTTTTCTTTATGCCTTCAATCCCTGTGCCTGGAAAAGAACCTGGTACATCATAAGTATTTGATATTTGCTAGTTGCATGTGTGTCATCCACTTAGGACTTAGGGTGACTCTGTGTGGGTTGGGAAGAGTCAGAGGAGGAATATACCATTGAGAGGAACCAGAATATGCACAGAATGAGGATATACCTTTGGAAGCGAGTGCAAGAAGCTGATGAGGCTAGAGTTTGGAATTCAAGAAATGGAGTTTGCAACCCTAAGATTTGGAGGGAGTGGCTTGCTTGGCCACTGGCTGCAGTGGACCAGGAGTTTAGTCAGGGCATTACAGGTATGTACAAGATCTTTGAGATGGCCCTGCTTTCCTTGTTGAGCATGGGATGGAAGATCAGTATCTACTCATGGACAGAGGCTTAGGCTTTGCAGCCAGCGAGTCCTGCGGCTAGCTTATTCCCAGGATACCTTCGGCAGCTGTCCTTTGTTTTCCATCCAGTAGTGAGTTAGTGCAGGCTTTCCCAGTATCAAGCAATCCCTAGTATCGACAGACAAACAGACAGTGTGTGGAGTTTATTGGAGTGTCTACACAGGCAAAGGGAAGGGAGATGGCAAAGGAAGAGCCTTCAGTCTGTAATGCAGGTCTCGCCCCTCTGAAGGAGGTTTAGGCAGGAAGAATCTGACAGCAGTCCAGCCCCTGGAAGAATCTAGCCAGAGGGACAGAGACCTTGAACCACAGTTGCCTCTTGGAGCCACACATGTCTCTTTTGGTCATTCACTGGCTGGGGGAATTGAAGAGTGTTTGTACAAAGCCTGGCCTTAAGTGGATAGTGTCTCTGAAGGGACAACAGCTGGACCCTTAGGTTCCATTTCCTTAGCAGCAGATCTGACATATTTCCATGATCACTATAGTAAGTTACATTGTAAAAATAAAATTCAAGCAAGCTGAACATGATGTCACATACATGTAATTCCAGCATCTAGAGGCTGAAACTGCAAGTTCCAAACCATGTTGAACTACATAGTGAATCTCAAAACAATCAAATAAAAAACAGTATAGTTAAAAAAAAATTCTCTTAAATGTCCAGTTGTTCAGATCTATTTCTTAGAGGTAACTGCTGGTAAATTTTTTATCTCCTTCCACACAAATCTGATTGTTTTCTGTACTCTATTCTGACTTTTTCCTTCTTCATGTCAATTCATGAAGACCTGTGCCTGTCTGTCTGTATCAGTTTCTCTCTCTCTCTCTCTCTCTCTCTCTCTCTCTCTCTCTCTCTCTCTAGCAATTATTAATTTGCATGGGACAAGGTGGGGCATGTTTATGCCACAGTGTGGATGTGGAGATCAGAGGACAACTTGTGGGAGTCAATTCCCTTCTTCCACCACATGTTCCTGAGATCAAACTCCCATTGTTAGGCTTGGTGTCTGGTGCCTTCACTTGCTGAGCCATCTTGCTGGCCTTCCAGCTTATTTTTTAAGGCAGTCTAATAACCTAGAGCTCACCCGCTCCACTAGTCTGCTTGGCCAGTGGGCTTCAGCGATCCTCCTGTCTCTACCTGCTGCTTCCCCAAGCACTGAGGCTACAGACTCACAGGCAGCTATCCCTGGCTTTTATGTGGATACTGGGGATCAAAACAATAGTTTGCTCACTGAACCGTCTTCCAGCCTAGTTTTGAATTTCAGTATTGACAAACTGTTCTGTAGAAGGGTTCAATGTATATTCCCACCAGTATTTAAGACCTTTGGTTTTTTTGGTACTGGCTTTGAGTCTCAGTGTTGCTTGTTGTTTGCATTCACATTCGTGTAATGATGAGTTGAGCCTCTATTTAGACTCTTCCAAGAAGACATAGTGTTCAGCTGTTGGATGTGACTTAGGTATGTGACTCAGATCATGATCACTCCTCCTAGGGACTCACCTCCCCGAGGTAACGTCAGAAAAACTCCCAGTCCCTCATTCCTCCTCCCCCACCCCAGTTCCATGTAAGCAATGCTTCACCTTCAAAAATTACATGTATACACATATATGTGAGTTCATGAATATGTCCATGCCAAGGAGAGGGCACAGAGACTAATGGGGTTAATTCTTTCAGCTTTCTGTGGGTTCTTGGGATCAGACTGGTTCTTAGGGTTGTATGGCAAAAGTTACCTGTCACACCATCAACCGAAGGTGCGTGTTCTCTCTCAACAGGGTTTCACTGTGTAATAGCTGTGGCTGTCCTAGAGCTCACTTGTAGACCAGGCTGGCCTTGAACTCACATAGCTCCTCCTGCCTCTGCCTCCTGAGTGCCAGGATTAAAGGCACGCACCACCACCACTAGCTTCATGCTTCACGTTCTTAACCTCACTTGTGGCCTGTGTGTCAGCAGGGATCCTGATAGCTAATGTCAGAAGAAAGTGACTCTCTGAGAACCAGCCCCTCTGTGGCCTCACTCTCCGAAAATGAGCTGCCACTGCCTCCGCCGGACCCTCCCGGCTATGTGTGCTCACTGACAGAAGACTTGGTCACCAAAGCCAGGGAAGAGCTTCAGGAGAAGCCTGAGTGGAGACTCCGGGATGTGCAGGCCCTTCGAGACATGGTGCGGAAGGAATACCCATACCTGAGTACCTCACTGGACGATGCCTTCCTGTTGCGCTTTCTGAGGGCCCGAAAGTTTGATTATGACCGGGCCCTGCAGCTGCTGGTCAACTACCATGGCTGCAGGCGGAGCTGGCCAGAGGTCTTCAGCAACCTGAGGCCATCAGCACTGAAAGACGTTCTCAACTCTGGATTCCTCACAGTGCTGCCCCACACGGACCCCAGGGGCTGCCATGTCCTCTGCATCCGACCAGGTACTGGGTAGTGTCTCTGAGATGGGTCTGTCCTTCACCCAATTTCCTCTCATAGTCCCCCACTTCCTTGTTTTAGTGAAGGGTCTTTTCTTTTTGGTTTTGGCTTTTTAAAACAGTCCAGGCTGATCTCAGACTCACCGTGCAGCAGAGGGTGATCTTTTACTTCTGACCCTCTTGCCTCTACCTCTCAAATGCTAAGATTGTAAGTGTGTATCATCATGGCTGGCCTCAAAACTCTTTTGAGTACAGGTGGCAAAACCATCCTCAGACAACAAGGAAGCCTTGACTTAATGAGGCAGAAACAGCTCCCAGATCTACCGAATCAAAGATGCCGCCAGTATGACCAGAACATGGACCCCAGGGCACAGGCCTCTAGCCCTGTCTCTGCTTGGCACAGATAGCTTCTTCATACTTTTCCTCCAAAGGGCAGCAAAGTAAAATCTGGCTCCTGTTAGCTCTCAGGCCACCTAGCTTCCCAGTGAGCTTCTGTCAGTGCAAACTCAAATTTCCAAAAGAGAGTGCAGTGAGCTCAGGAATCGTGGTCACAGACGCAGGCACAGTTGCCAAGCCCCTCCCAGCACCTCCTCTGAGTGAGCTGAGTACAGTTCTGAGTGAGCCCGTGTGGGCTGGGCAGAAGCCTGGAAAGGCACCTGTTCTCTGCCTCCTTCCCCCTCCTCTCCTCTTGGGTTAAACCTTGACAGAATTCACTTTATTTTTACTTTTCTTTTTTTCAGTGCTGGGAATAACCCTAGCTCACACCTGTTGGACAGGACTGTACCACTGAGCTGTGACCAGAACCCCTTCTGTCTGTCTGTCTGTCTGTCTGTCTGTCTGTCTGTCTCTCTCTCTCTCTCTCTCTCTCTCTCTCTCTCTCTCTCTCTTTCTCTCTTTCTCTCTTTCTCTCTCTCTCCTTACTTATTGAGATAAGCGCTCTCTATATAGCCGTAGCTGTCATGGAAGTTGCTATTTAGAACAAGCTGACCTCAAACTCACAGAGATATACCTGCCTCTGCCTCCCCAATGCTGGAAAAAGCATATGCCCGACTTGAAAAAAACAAACAAAACAAAAATGTATTTTTTTAACCTTACACAGAGACCTGTGGTAGACTCAGAGATAAATAAGCATCATCACATCCACTTATTCCTCTGTCTAATCTACGATGGCACTGTTCAAACAGTAGACAGGAGGTGGCCACTTAGGTGTCAGGAAAGATAATGAAAATCATGGTCCTGCCCCGTCTGGTGGCTCATCTCAGTTCTATAGCACAGCCATTTGCAGCAAGGGAAGAACATTTAAAATTGTGACCCTAGGAGGAGTTAAAAGAGGAGAAATGTAGAAATGTTTTAGCCAGTGAACTCCAGCCTTGTGATTCCTAACTCTGTCTCCCGGGCACCTGGGCAGTTGAGGCAGGGGCCTTCCCTCCACTCACAGCCTGCAGCTCCCTTCATTGCAAGGCCCAGGAGAGATGAGCATAGGATGACAGCACTCCTCCTAAGCAGGCCACACAGTGAGCACGCTGGCAGCCTCTGCCTGCAGTCACCTGAAGGGTGTCTGCCGAATAGCCGGCTCCAGGTTTCCCTCCTGGGTGCCTCTCATGACCTTCTAGCCTTTTATAAACAGTCCTTACAGTCTAGACCCTTCTCTTCACCCATACTGCATGCCAGACAGCTGGAGCCGCTTTACCTACCCGCTGTGCTAGGCACTTTCCAAAATTAGGTGTTTATTTTAAAATAAGCAGTGCAGACTTCTGAGCACCGAGAGACCTAGAAAACAGCCAGCAAGCTTTGTCCTGCTGCTGTGAGCTCACCTCATAAAAGTGTGTTATCAGATGGTCAGATGCACCTTGCTAGCCGAGCCTCCTCCTGGCTTGTAGCTAAGCTTATGAGATGAATTCTGTCCTTGTGTTTGGATGAGGTCTGGACCTCTCTCTGCTGACCCACCTTCTTAGGAGGAAGCCTACCCGTGAAGCTGTGTTGCTGACGGGCTCCACTTTGCCTTTTGCTAAGCATTTTTGACATAGATGTGATGGAAAGATTCTGTGGTTCACAGAGCAGGCTTGATTCACATGAACATTAACCACCAAGTTTGGCAAAGATTGGCTATGAGAATTTTGCATAGGGTAGGTAAGATAGCCCAGTAGGTGAGAGCACTTGCCCCACAGGCCTGATTCAGATCCCTGGAACCCAGGTAAAAGTGAAAAGTGTCAATCCAGATTGTGTTCTGACTCCCGTACATGCTCTATAGCACGAGTGTCCCCTCACACATAATTGGGTACGTGTATTATATATACATACCCAAAAATATTTTTAAAAAGAAAAGTATTTTGTGCACATTAAATATCCATTGCTTGCAAAGTGAACTTTTGTTTATTAATGTATTCAATGATTTCATATATATATGTGTGTGTGTGTGTGTATTTACTTTGAACATAATCTCCCATTCTCCTCTATTACCCCTCCCTCTGAATCACCCCAAGCTCCTTCTTCCCAAGAAGCCCTCAATGCTCATGCCCACCCCCACCCGGCCCCCACCCCTCAGGGAATGGGTGGGTGGGAACAGCCTGCTGCATTTCAGTAGAGTTGCTTGTATCAAGAGCATACGTTGGGAGTTATTTACCTGAGCATGGGGATCTTAGCAGTGGCCACATAACTGAGGACTAGGGACCCCTACCCAAGCATTTAGGGGTGATTTTTTTTTGAGACAGGAGACAGGGTCTCATGTAGCCCAGGCTGGCCCTTAACTTTCTATGTAGCTGAAGAAGACCTGAACTTCTCCCAAGAGCTGAGGGTGCAGGTGTGAGCCACAGCCCCTGCCATAAGATTTTGGTAAAGATTTTCATGAGAATAGTTAGGTACCAGCTGGGCATGGTGGCCCATGCCTATTAGCCCAACACTCAAAAGTTCAAGGGCAGTCTGGGCTACAGAGTAAGACTGTCTCAACCCCCTCGCCCTAGCCAGAAAAATAGTGACTAAGAGTCAACAGTACCATTGTTGTACTTTCTCTTTTCCCAAAGAGAAGAATCATTCAATATGCAAATATTAATGAAACATGCATCCTGCGAGGAGGAGTTTGAGGAGGGGCCTTGTGGAACATGGCTGTGCTCCATCCTGCTACACCGCTGGAGGTGTGTGTCAGTGGGGTCTCACTCTTTACGAGGCAAATGACAAATGCCTGAAAGCCAGCTTGGACCAGTTAAAACAAGAACTCCTTTACATAGGCGACATCTGGGTTCAGTTAGACTTGGGGGGACTGGAGGTGACTCCATCTTTGCCAGCCTTGGCTTGGGCTTCGTTGTCAGAGCAGCTCGGCCTCACAGGCCCCTGGATTTCAGGTCCACAGCATTACCGCTGTGAGAGGGAGGGGAGCTTCCCCTTCCCAAGAACCACACCCCAGATTAAGTCTGGCACTGTGTGACCTGGCTAGGCTGTCATACCAGCTCCGCCAGCCAGTCCCCATCTCTCACCCGCCCTGGAGTCGTCAGTCAAGTCAGTTGTGTGCAACTTGTGTGGCCAGAATGGACAGTCACTGTGGTGATATAATAGCACTCGATGGCAGGAAGCAGAGGTGGCCAGGAAGACAGGTGTCCTTACCTGTTTACTTAAGACAGAGGCTCAGAGTCCTGAAGCACCTTGTCCCAAGTCATACAGCTAGTAAAGGTCAGAAGCTACCATGGCTGACTTCACAGCCCAGGCTTTTAACCTCTAAAGCCAGTGGTGCTTTTATCCCCAGATGTTCCACCAGGTTTGCGAGGTTGGGAAACATCAGCTGCCGGGCAGGACTGTGATGCAGAGTGCTGTTCTCTTCCATTTTGGAGCTGGAGCTTTAGAAGATGCATCCTTCTCTGAGCACTTGTCTGTATTCCTTCTGTAACACTGTCCATCTCTTGTGACCTCAGACAGATGGATACCGAGCAACTACCCGATTACCGAGAACATCCGAGCCGTATACTTGACATTAGAAAAACTCATTCAGTCCGAGGAGACCCAGGTGAACGGGATTGTAATCCTGGCCGACTACAAGGGAGTGAGCTTATCGAAAGCATCTCACTTTGGGCCTTTTATAGCCAAAAAGGTGATTGGCATCCTTCAGGTATGGCCCCTGGTCACCACATGCCCCTGCCATGGGGCTTTGCTTTCCCCCAGCCCTGTCCACTTACTACCATCTTATGGAGGACTACACAGACCCCACTTCCCACAGGCAGTGAGAGAAGGAACCTCTTATCTGTGCTTAACGGTTCACAGAGCCCTGTTGCTGTCATTACAGATTGGTCCTTCAGGGAACACACTGGGGCCAGCAAGAATTTATTTTCCTTTTTGATAGATATGGCAGCCGAGGGCTAGAGAACATACGTGCACATTCCTGCTTCGTGTGCCACAGTTAGGGAAGGCTGAGCTCTTGTTCACCGGGCTGCCCGTTGGGTGCTGCCCCTTGTGAGCTGGGAGGTGCCCGAGGCTCAGCTGCTCTTCCCTAGGTCCACAGTGTCCAGGCCCTGCTGTGAGTTGATTCACTTAAACAGACCACTTCTGTATTGGCCATCATTTGATTCTGTTTTTTGAGACAAAATTTCTTGTAGTCCACGCTGGCCTCAAACTTGATATGTAGCCAAAGATTGACCTAATCCCCCTGCCTCACAGCTCCACCACTGTAAATCTGAATGATCTTCTTTAGCTTCTACCATTTTTCTTTCTATTTTTTTAAACTCAAGATATATTTATTTTATTTATATGAGTACACTGTAACTGTCTTCAGACACACTAGAAAAGGGCATCGGATCCCATTCCAGATGGCTGTGAGCCACCGTGTGGTTGCTGGGAATTGAACTCAGGACCTCTGGAAGAGCAGTCAGTGCTCTTAACCACTGAGCCATCTCTCCAGCCCTGTTTTTATTTTCTTGTGCTAGGACTAGAACTCAGGACCTCATGTTTGTTAAGCAAACACTCTTCTACTGAGCTACATCCCTGGCAATATGGCTTGTTTTGTTTTTAAATTATTTTATGTATATGGGTGTTTTGTCTGTATGTGTATCTGCACATGTGAACCTGGTGTCCCAGGAGGTCAGAAGACGCTTTCAGGTTTCTGAAGACTAGAGTTGCAGATAGTTGTAAGCTGGCATATGGGTGCTGGGAATCACCCAGCTCCCCTGGAAGAACAGCCAGTGCTCTCAGCTACTGAGCCATTCTTTCAGCTTCTGGCTCTGTGGTTTGATGACTCCAGCTGAATCACACATACACACGGTGTTGGGATTGAGTTTGTATCTGTATCTTCCTACTAATGTAGGATTACCCAGAAGGGACCCAAGTTTCAGGGTTAAATAAGTCTGTGAACTGTGTGATTTAATGTGTCTCTCACTGTAAACATTAGGGTAGTAAACTGTGAACAGAACTGCGCTTAAAGGAGCATTTCGTCCTTTCTTTCTTTCCCTTTCTCTCTTTCTTTCTCTCTTTCTTTCTTTCTTTTTTAAATATTCATTTATTTTTATGAGTACACTGTTGCTGTCTTCAGACATACCAGAAGAGGGCATCAGATCCCATTACAGATGGTTGTGAGCTACCATGTGGTTGCTGGGAATTGAACTCAGGACCTCTGGAAGAGCAGTCAGTGCTCTTAACCACTGAGCCATCTCTCCAGCCCAAAACATTTCTTTTTTGAATAGAACTAGAGCTCTGCATGTTAGGCAAGGGCTCTACTATTGAGCCACAGTCCAGCCACTTTAAAAAAAAAAAAACTCAAAAAACTCAATTTTTATTTTGAGACAGAGTTTCCCCAAGGAGGCTAGGCTAGCCTTGAATTATTCTGTATATTATTTACTTTTTTGTCACGATGATAAAACACCATGACCAAGGCAGCTTACAGGAAAAGAAGTTTATTTCTCATATGACTCCAGAGAGATAAGAGTCTGAGATATGGCAGGGAAGCCTGGCATCAAGGGTCAAACCTTGTGGCAGGACAGGAAGCCGAAAGCACAAATGAGAGAGCAAGAAGAATAGTGTGGGGCTGTGTGCTCTCAGAGCCTGTCCCCAGGCCATGCTTCCTCCAGGAGGCCACGTCTCAGCTTCTCAAACAGAGCCACCAAGTGGGACCAAGTGATGAGATGCCCAAGCCTATGGGGGATATCTCATTAAAACCACCATACTCTGTATTCTAAGCAGGCCTTGAACTCATAACCCTCCCACCTCAGCTTCCTGCATAGCTGTGATTGCAGGCTTGAGCCACCCGGAGAGGCTAGGGAAACCTATCTGACTGTGTAGCTCACCAAATTCTTCTGGCTCACGTAGTATTCCCAAGCAGCCCTGCTTCACGTCATATCTGATACACCCTGGGAAATGGGCTTGAGGCAGCTCTGACCTGGAAGGCCTATTGTCTTCCAGCTCTTCCTCTGTGGACTTGGGCCTTTGCTTGCTGCTATGAGAGGGGCTCCCCACCCCTTTGCCTAGCTCTTCTGACCCAGACCTCCTCATGATTTATCTTCCTGTTTGTTCAGACCAGGGCTGGCTCTGAGGAGGTAGTGAGAGTCAGACCAGACTGTCGCTGGGCCTATTATGGTTTAGATGGGGAGGGGAGCTGCGGAGGGAACGGCATACAGGTATTAGAGATGTTCTAACAAGGTGCTCTTCCCCCACACAGGATGGCTTCCCCATTCGGATAAAAGCAGTTCACATAGTGAACGAACCTCGGATATTTAAGGGCATTTTTGCCATCATAAAACCATTTCTGAAGGAGAAAATTGCAAACAGGGTAAGTGACAGCCTTTGAACGTGATACTTTTTTTAAAATCTCCTTTAATTTTTTTTTCTGACCTGATTTATTTGTGATACCTAGAACATCAACATTTGTGTCCAGGAACTAATTTGGAAACATATGGTACAGATAAACATGTTCCATCCCTTTTCTGAGGGGAAGATGGAACTGGTAAGAGTAGGGTGAGCAGGACCAGGGTGTTGGGTTTACAACAGAGCTCATGCAGCCCAGGCTGAAGGCAGGGTTTTTATCTCAGACTGCCTCTCTGCTCTGTAATCTACTGAGACTTCCTGGTCTCCTGCCTTATCCAGCATTGCATTTTATGTGTAAGAGGGACTAGAAAAGGGAAGGAATGGGTCATCAAGCAGGTGGATTGATGGATCCAGTCGATCATTGCTAACTCAGAGCTTCATACCTGCTTGGTGAGTGATCTACCATACTCCACAGCCAGCCCTAGATGACACTTTTAAAGGAGAGTCTTCCTTTCTGAGCCACACAGGCCCTCCTCTGTGAGGCCATCTCTCTCAGGACCACTGATGGAAATGTGGTTGGTGTCTTTATTCTCCTTCCCACTCAGAGACATTGAGGTCATGCCAAACACTGGGTTCACTTTCACACTTGATCTTATGTTTTTAAAGATCTCTTAACTTTAATGTCTCTGCGTGTGTGTGTGTGTGTGTGTGTGTGTGTGTGTGTGTGTGTGTGTGTTGCCTGAGAAGAGAGCATTGGATTCCCCTGGAATTGGATTTACATGCCTGTTGTGAGCCACCTGAAGACCTGAAGTGGATGCTGTGAACTGAACTCAGGTCCTCTAGAAGAGCAGTAAATGGTCTTCATTTCTGAACCATCTCTCCAGCCCAGTTTCATATCTTTTCAAAAAGAAGCATACAGAAATAGATAATCTCAAGACTGTAAGAGCTAAAACTTAGAATCTGGGTCCAGATTCCCAGGCCCTTCCCGTTAGCAGAGAGGGGTGGCGCCTGGTATGAGTGGTTTTTAAGTCTCCTTGGTAATTTTGCTGTTGAGACTTGAGAAGTCCTGGCTGGGTGTGAGCCCCTGTTGGTTCCTAACCTATCTTTCTGTTGCTGTGATAAACACCCCACAAAAGCCACTTAAGGGACAAAGGGTTTGTTGACAATAGCTTGAAGTAACTGGTTGAGTTGCATCCACAGTGAGAAGCCAGGGCCTGCTCTCTCCATGTTATTCAGACCAGGATCCAGCTCTCACCGCAGTTGACACATTAAAGATCATCCCCAACAGGCATGCCCAGAGTCCAGTCTACCAAGGGATCAGTCGCTGACAGTTCACAGTACCCATCACAGTTCCTAAAGGCTATCTGCAGACAGGTTGCATCTTTGAAATCCTCTTCTGTGGTCCCCGATGATGCTCGTGTATTCCCTTCAGGGCTCATTCATTCAAAAGTATAATCGACCAACTTCTAGATGGCATGAAACACAGGAAGAGCAGGCCCAAATCCCCGCCCAAAGATCCTCACACTGGAAAGATGCTCCAGAGACTGAAGTAATAGTAAGATGAAGGGGTTGTGCACTCGTCGGGTAGTGAAGGCCGGTGCCATTGAGACTTAGGAGGTGAGAGAGTAAGCCATACAGCAACTGGGAGACCAACACAGTATAACGCAGAGGCACAGGAGGGATGCCCAGCATGCTGAAGAGCAGGTAGGAAGCCGGTGTGGCCAGGCCTAAGTGATAGGGAGACTGATGGGTGAAGTCTGAGGAACTAAAGGGCCCGTCTGTGACGGGCCTGGTGGGCCCGCAAGCAGACTGTACATGCAGTGACATTACCTGAGCCACACTGAAAGGAGGGGACTGTTTTGGGTCAAGGCTCCAACTTGAGAGGCCAGGTAGGAGGCTGATGGGAGGCTCTGAGAAATGACGGTGGCACAGGACTGGTGGCCTGGTAGTTGTGTCATGGCTGGACTGACGGTCCACTCAGTGGGGTGTGCAGTGGAGGATTGAGGTGTTACAGGCACCTGAGGCAGAGGAGCCTTCATCATTCAGCACATGTTTATTTGAACACCTGCCACAGGGAGATTGATTCACTACAGATTCCCCCAGCATGTGTGTGTCTGTACTTAGCAAATGTTTTTATTAGTATCTTAGGTTTCTAATACTGTGATAAACCCATAACCTTGGCTTCCATATCCCTGATCACAGTCCACTGAGGGAAGCCAAGGCAGGAAGTTCAGGGGAAGACCCCAAGGCAGGAAAGTGAGGGAAGAACTGAACTAGAGACTGGAGGGGTGCTGCTTACTGGCTTGCCCCTTAAAGCTTGCCCCATTCACTGTTTTATAACCAGAACCACCTTCACAGGGCTGGGAGAATGTCCCCCAGGCCAGTCTGATAGGGGCTTTTCCTCAGTTGAGGTTCTCCCTTCTCATAAGATTCTAGCTTGTATCAAGCTGACAAAAACCCAGCACAATTAACATGTTAATATGATCCAAAGCTGCACGATGGATGTCATTGTCATTCCCTGTGGCCAGCTTGTCCTCCTCACACTCCCGAGCCTCTTCCTCTCTACATCCCTCTTCTACTTTCATGTCTGTTTTGTCTGTTTTAGTGATCCAACAAGTTTATTTAGGGTTATTTACAATCTCCTGAATAAAGAGCCATTTACAGGAATTTGGGCAATTAAACAGCCGTAACACTGAAGAAAATGTCTCCTCAAGGAAGGAGTAGGCCTCATGTTCCCCCAACCCCATGATGGAATATTGAAAGGACCCGATCTTGTGCCTGTGATCACAGCAGCTGACTGTGCCTTTTATACCGTTCTGTTTTAGTTCTTCCTCCATGGGTCTGACCTGAACTCTCTCCACACAAACCTTCCACGGAATATCCTCCCCAAGGAGTATGGGGGCACAGCTGGAGAGCTGGACACTGCCTCCTGGAACGCGGTGCTGCTGGCCTCGGAGGAGGATTTTGTGAAAGAGTTCTGCCAGCCTATGCCTGCCTGCGACAGTCTCCTGGGCCAGCCCCTGCTACCTGAAGGGCTGATCTCAGATGCACAGTGTGATGACTCCATGCGAGCAGTGAAGTCCCAGCTCTACTCCTGCTATTAGGACTCTTCTGGGAGTCACCATGTGTACTTCCTTCCTCCCTTCCTTAGAAATGCACAGGCTGAAGATGTCAGGACCTTGCTCCACTGTGCAGCTGCTTCAGCTTAAATCTCCTGTAGAGATTTAAGGAGTGCCCATCACAGGCAGACCTTTGACTACCTGGGTTTTTTCAGAGAAGACATGGAAATTGCCCTGGTGATTCCCAGATGTTTGTACTCTTAAGTTTGCAACTATTACTCTGGAAGCTCTATCTGTCTCTTATGCATCTTGGAAAGAACTAGGGTCAAAGTCACTCTGAAGTGACCAGGAGAAGACAATTTGACTGATCAGGACTCTGAAACAATTATTAATCCTGAAAGGTGGCCACATGTGAAACTTGAGTCTCTTTCCCATAAACCCTAGGTGTTGACCTCTGCTGCTCATCAGCAAAGTTCAAGGTTCCGGCCCCAGTTGTCACTGCTGGGCCTAGGAAGCACTGTTAACTGAGTGGTAAACCCCAGGCCCGGGCAGTACTTAAAGATCAAATTTGGAAGCCAGAGGCCTCAAAGCATCCCTGGAATTCCAGGGTTAAATCTTGCAATAGAAACTTTTCCCAAACCCGTAAAGCCTTAGCCATGGACTCACACAAGTCAACATAAAATACTGGATTCAAGGACTGTGGCTAAAGCATTTGGACTAGGAGTCAGGTGTGTGACTGCACAGACCATTTGCTGCTGAGTTTCTGCTATTTGGTTTAGCTCCTGGCCCCCTAGACACCTGAAAAGACCCATGATGGCTCCCAGCAGCCTTGATGGGAGAGTCTTTTTTTTTTTTTTTTTTTTTTTTTTTTGATGGGAGAGTCTTATTCGAAGCTTTCTTAGGTGGTTTGGTTGGGAAAAAGCAGAAGGAAAAAAATAAAGGAAAAGATGAATCTCTCAGCCCCACTAGGTTCCCTAAATTTAAATCATTTTACATCATTAGCTAGTTCTTTGTCTCCTGGACTTAACAAAGGGACAACCAGACTCCTGGGGAGAAATCTCAGAGCAGAAATATTGCCTGTTTGCCAGGCCTTTCTGGTTAGGCCAAGAGGGAGCCATTCAGTCAAGCCTCTGAGGATTCTGGGTCTCTATGTCCCTACTGCTGCTTGTGGACTCTAGAGGTCTGTCTTGGCACCTCAGCTTTGAAGCAGGCTGTGAGACCAGGACCTCCTGGTGCAAAATAAAGCAACTCCTCTGTTGAGCAGCAGGGGAGCAGCAGGCCTCAGCTGAGGGGAGCACACTGGTGGGGCCAGCAAGTGAGCAGGAACCTGGGAGTATCTGACTTTAGGGTAAAGTGCTAGACATTTCAGACAGCTAGAAATCAACTTTCCCTAAATTCAAGGTCATGTGGTATTGAAGAGAAAGGGATGGAACATTAACACCTGAGTGCTGGACAGGGGCTTGTATGCTGAACTCTGAATCCTGTTCCTGAGTCTCTGGCCATAAGGGCACTCTTTTCTGCTTGGTGCTGAAATGTCCTAGTTTAGGAATACAGGAGTTTTCTTCTTTCTCAAGTCCCCTACAGACTTCTAGGCAATTCAGCTTCCTAGAAATGTATGTATTCTGCCTTCATGCAGGAATACAGATAAATTTACAGAAACATCCAGAAGTGGCTTCACACCTTGGCTTTCTCCAGGCACAGGTGGGTTTGGACTGCTCACATTACATCCTTGGCTTGTAAGCACCTCAGGTTAGGGGGCAGTTTCCTCAGAGTTGGAGAGACTGGAGCCATTCCCTTTGAATACCTGAAATGGCTTTATCACCTAGCAGGCAATTTGGGTAGATGTCATTTCATCCTTGAGATCACTCATGGAACTTGTTTCTTCAGTTGGGCCACAACAGCTACATGGCTGTGGTGGTATTATAATACCTCATCAAGGGTTTTCTTAGGGCGCCTCCTTTAGGAAGGAAACCTCTAATTCAGTTGATGTAAGGATAGTGATGCTGTGGTCATGTCAGGCAGAAACACCAGACACATGGGCAGTGGAGACATCTTGGTAAGGCTTCTACTGTGGTCTGCTCAGTTTGTAAGTCTGCTTTCTGCTCTCCTGCCTCAGAAATGCTCAGCTCCAAATGCAAGAAGCGCCATCAAATGTTTCTTCTCAAAGGAGCTTGCTCCACAGGAAGGTCCAGTGGGATTTGCAGGTGGAGTCTTATTTACTGGTTTGTGACCAGATTTACTACTGGTTTTCAATTACCTGGGGTCCTATGTCTGTGTTTTCAACCTTTTCCCATCAAGCAGTTAGTGGTAGCCACTTTGGATTCTTGTGTAATATGCCTGTTTGGCATATTACATAGGAACCTAACAGATAAAAAAATACTTGAAGCCGGGCGGTGGTGGCGCACGCCTTTAATCCCAGCACTTGGGAGGCAGAGGCAGGCGGATTTCTGAGTTCGAGGCCAGCTTGGTCTACCAAGTGAGTTACAGGACAGCCAGGGGTATACAGAAAAACCCTGTCTCAAAAAAAAACAAAACAAAAAAAATACTTGAAACTTCTCAGTGGCCAAGACCTCCGATACCCTCTCTGATGGGTGGGAGCTGGGCTATTTTCCTGACCAATCTAGGCCACCATTTTAGTCCCTGGTCACATTCCTTACTTCAAACTGAAATTCAGTTTGACTTTGAGTATAGGCACATATGGTGGATTCACCTACTTCAGTGTTTTGACCAAAAGTTTATTTTTCTAGTGCATTTTTCTAAATGGTGAAAATACGTAATTTTAGAATGCATGACTGGATCTCCAAAATAAAAATCCCTGTAAAGCTGGGTGTATTGTGCTTTTGTTCTTGAGACAGTCTCACTATGTAGTCCTGGTGACCTGAATAGACAAAGGTTTCCTAACCATGGGCCCAAGGGCAGCTTCCTGCCCTATAAAGTTGGAAAGGGGCACTGTGACAGGCACTGGCAGCCACTGAAGATCACGACACCAGCTGTATATGAAGAGAAATGGACTTGGCTTCGCTCAGTGGAAGAGACATTATGCATTTTTCAGTTCTCAAGACTGAGATATTTCTCTGGACTGACCCTGAATCCTTCCAATGAGAACTAATGGTTCCTAAAGAGCTCCTGTGGGCTGGGCATGTGTGCCAAGTACACAGCACATAATCTCATTTAAATCTTCGGACACCATGAATAAAGTGTACTGCCCCCATCAGGAAAGTGGGGCCCACATATGTAAATTAGCTTGCCAAGGACAAAGCCAGGCAGCCCAACTGGATCCTGCATCAGAAGGACATAAGAGTTTAGTGGCGCACAGCTCTCTTTACACTCATGTAACCAATCCTTGTGAGGACAGAGAGGGAAGAATCAGAGAGACTGAGCCAAATAAACTGGCATATGCCTTAGTCCCTGCTATTCTAGCTAAGGCTGAGGTTTGGGGTTAGACTGGACACCAGCCAGACCACCATCTCGCCATTTGATCCGAGTCAAAAGGCTTTAGGAAGTGAGACTCCATTCCTTAAAAAATTAAAAATATCAGAAATTGGCTTGTTTTCTGGAAACATGTACAGATGTGTAAGTACATTTGTGGGTAGGCGAATGGTTTTTTTGTGTTAGCTGGGTTTAAGACAGGGTCTTATGTAGTCCAATAGGATCTTAAGCCTGATACATTAACCAAGCATGCTGCTGAATTTACAATCCTGCTTCCACACTCCGGTCCTGGGGTCACGGGTGTGCTTTAATGTACATTTTTCTTTTGGGTTAAGGCAAAATCTTACCCTTATAGTCCAGGATGACCGTAAACTCAGAGCAATCCCATCCCAACCTCTCAAAGTGCTGGGATCACAGGCATGAGCCACCAGGCCTGGCTCCTTTGGGTTCATTTCATAAACTTAAGTATACATAATGGCTTCATTATAACATTTTCATTCATGCATGTAATGTATTATTTCCTTACTGTCTCTTATCCTCTCCTTCCCACTGATCCCATTTTCCTAACTAGTCCCTCTTCTACTCAGGTATTTTCTGGTGTGAACCAGTGAGTTAAGTTAGGGCTACTTACACAAGTATACACCATTTGCCTGTAGCTACATTTCTGAAGAAAATGTCTCTCCCTTAGCAACCATTAACTGCCTATAGATACTTGGGGAAGGGCAGAACCCCGTGACCCTCTCCTGACTATAATGTCCTCAGTGGGGTGTGGCCTCATTACTCACTTCTCCAACAGTTTTTCATCTCAGAGACTGAAGTTGTAACCTAACATTTTTATACACAGGTACAGACTATGAAGGGTACTGGGCTGGGACTTGTGCCTCTCATACTAAGCTGTTACCTGTTATTTGTTTATAGAAGGGACATAATGCCCCAGAAGAGAGCAGCTGGGTCCTCATGACTAGCCTACTGGCATGATAGCTGAGTCAGTTGAGAAACTCTAGCACAGGATGCAAGCTTGCTGCTAGCTTCCGATGAGGCAACAGGTAAGTGCACATACCACAGTAGAGCCAGCCCTTCAAGGGAGTCTCTCTGGCGAAGCCTGTTTCTCATTCTAGCAGCCTGACACTTTACCTCCACTTTGAGGCAGTTGTGAGGATTGACAGTACTTCTCCCTGATCAGAGGCAGAACTCTGCCTAAGCACATGGCACTAGTTGAACACTGCCACGGTTAGTGGCAGGGCAAGTTTTATGTGACTGCCAGGTAGTGACCCAGAGATCACCTATTAGGAGCAGACTTAGCTTTGTTCCTATGTTGAAGAAAAATACAATCAAGCAAGGGTTTGTCATAGACAAAAGGCTGTCCTACTTAGTCAGACCTGTTATGGTTCGGTCTAGGATTTCAAAAGCCCTACCTAGCAGGCCCATGGCTTGTTTATAGGGAGAATGGAGTGTTACTGGAGACTGTACCTAGCACCTCATACATGCTAGGCAAACACTGCAGCACCTCTAAGCTATATGCCTCTATTTCTTTTATTTTTTAATTTTAAGATATGGCTTCCCTATTTTGCTCAGGCTGAAACATGACCTATAGCCAAGTCAGGCCTACAACTTGTGATCTTCCTGCCTTAGCAGCCTGAGTAGCAGGGATTGTACACATGCACTACCATCCCTGGCTTCCAAAGGCCATTTTTAGCAGTGTCTTTGGTTATAAAGATAAAATTTTAGGCTGGGGATGGTGGCTGCTGTCTGCAGTCCATCTGTGCTTAGGGAGTAGAGTAGAAAAGGGCAGGAGGGCTGAAATTGTAGAGTACCCCTGACCTACAGAGTGAGTTTTGGGGCAGCACAGCCTAGAGCAAGACCCTATTTGCAAACAGACTCACCTAGAACAGTGGTTCTCAATCTTCCTGAGGATGCGAGCCTTTAACGTAGTTCCTCATGCTGTGGTGACCCCCAACCATAGAATTATTTTCACTACTGACTCCTAACTGTAACGTTGCTAGTTATTATGAATGGTAATATAAATACCTACCATAGGAGACTCCAGTAAAGGGCTGTCCAACACCGCCGCCCACATCACCCCCAAAAACGCCCACAGACTCAAACCCCCTGACCTAGAAAGTAAACTATTTTGAGCTGGGCCAACGAGTTTTCCCCCAGCTGTAGCTAGCCTCTGCTGTTGTCTTCAATGAATTCCTACAACATGGCACTGATCTGAGTCAGGGCCATCAATCTACAGATGAGACTGATGAAATATCAAGTGGACTCATCTGGAATGAGATAACTCAAAACAATGTCCTATTCTGAAGTATGCCCACAGGCTTACTCAAAATGCTAGCATTCTTCAAGTCCATGTACAGTTCTGCATGTGATGTGTTATTCACTTGAGACTGAAATGAATGGCTGTTTTGTGATAACAGCCAGACTTAACTTATTCTTAGAATGTAGCCAAGCAATGGTGGGACTGCTCCCTGTTTTTAAGAGAGCTTACTATTTCAAATTAATCTCAAAGCTATCATGGTGAAAAAAAAAAAAACCTTTATTGAACTTTATTACATAATTTTAGTTTGGAACTCCATTTATTTTGAACCATATAAGGCAAGGAATGGGAACTGTTTTGAAATTGAGGCCTTTTAGAGGACTGCTCATGGTTCCCCTACTGTTAAGCACAGGTATTTGTCTCACACAGGTAAGATTAAGGGCCAAAACTATCTGCTCCACAAATCCTTTGAATTTTGATTTCCACACATGATCCTAAAGGACAGTGGTTCTAACACCCATCAATCCCAGCTTCCCTAGCCTCCAAGTCTACTTAGCTGTCTATATATGACCATCTGTTTAATCCTCTAAGACCACATCCGACCCAGCCTCCATCAGATTCCAAACACTTCTGACCTTCTAAGTACATTTAGTCTTGTTTTAATCCATAGTGACATTGGCACTTACTGTCAAACATTCTTACAACAGATCCATTCTGAGACAACTTTATCTTCAAACGATCTCTGGTACTAAGCACTGACTGAGGCCCAGGCAGAGTGCTCAGGGTCACAAGCACAGCATGTACTCAGTAAGCATTAGACGGCCACTCAATAGCTAGAAAATAGCAGAGCTCAGTCAGACGCAAGAGGTCTGACTCTCAACCTATTCATCATATGAAAGAACCACCTCCATCCTTTTCATACCAAACCAGAGTCCCAAATAGAACCTATCTACACAGATTAGACCAGAAATCAGCCTCTCCTGTCCCCTTAAACACTAATGTGGAAATTGTCTAAATTGTCAATTTCTCCCCAAACCCCCTTTACATCTCTATTTCAAATGTCAGATGAATCACCTCAATATCTGGTATGAACCAAAGTTACAAATCCTAAAGGCACTCTCTCAAGGAAGTCATTGTGCTAGCCTCTTTCCAGAGATCTCTTCTTAGGAGTTTTCAGCACTAATTGACCAGGCAGGTCACCTCATTTTCCTTAGATGGAAGAATGTCTGTCTGTCTTGTCTTCACCCTGACAAGGCATAGTGCAGAACCAATACTTGGTGAGTTTCTGTTGAAAAGCCTGTTTTATCATACCTCCCTTGCATACTGCTTTTCAGGAATATCTTTTTTGACAGTGCCTAAACTATTTCTTACCTACTTTGGTCTTCCCCAGAGAAAATATTTGGGATAGTTTCTAAATGAACTTAAAACTTTACTAGTCAAATTCTAAGTATTAGAAGAGGAGCATCCTGCCTGAAATGTCAGATTGAAGATTGATGTAGGACTCTCCAAACAAGCAAATAATGACAGAAAACCTATCAACCCCATTGCAGAAGGAGCCTTATGGTGGTACAGACCTACACTTCAGTACTTGGAAGCTGAGACAGGATGGTCTGTGTTCCAAGGAAGTCCGGGTTATATGGAAAAGACCCTTTCTAAACAAATACACAAACACACAAGAAACTAAATATCTATTTTAATTAAGTACTTTTTTATGTTGCAAATGTGATAAACTGACATGCCTTTGACTTTTACACACTCATAAACAAGATCATTACATAACACTGCACTGCTTCCCAAGTGAACTTTTCATTTTAATCAGACCTACAAAGCATTTACTGGGGTGACATATCTGACAGACTCCTATCAAGCAGCATCAGTGTAGTATAAAGAGTAAGTAAAGGAACTCAACAGCCTTCTCCCAGCCTTATGAGCAGCTGCATTTCCAGGGAAGGACCTACATACATGATTCCTTGCCAAGAACCGGGACGATACACCTCTGAAGAAGGGAAATGTAGATTAATGCATTCCTTTTTGGTTTTTAAGGAGACAGTAATAGAAATATATTAAAGATAGCCTTAAATATCCAACAATCTTCTAACTTACAACTTAAACCAAAGTTGTAGGAATCTACAGGTCTTTATAAAGAATTCTCTTCACAGCACAGCTGTAGTTCATGTTAAAACACAAAAATGTTCCCTTTGTGCTATAGCCTTACAAATAAACATAATATGTATGTATGTATATGAAAGCTCAGACTCTGCATCAAGCATTATTCAATCTTGCCTTTTGATATAAACCTGAAGACAGCCAAATCTGCAAAGCGTTCACTTAATAGTCTAGTTGATGAAACGTAAAATGGATATGCATTTTCAGGAAAGGAGACTCTTTCAGCTTTAGCAGTGTCCTTGACACACTGAGCTCAGCTGAAGTCCCGACCTGTAAGGACCAGGGGAGCCACAAGAGTCCAGAGGTAAAGGAGGAGGCACACCCAGCTGGAGCCCATTTTGACCCACACAGCTATCCACTCGCTGGATACCTTCTGGAATTTGGCATCCGGGCTAAGAAAACAAGAGAATAGGGAGAAAAAAGATTAGTATTGCAAAGCTGCATCCCTCCATTCCACCCACCCTGGCCAACACCAAGAAACCCCACAGTGAGATTTAGCTGACACCATTAACCCTAGTACTGTTCTAGTACAGAGTTGAGAAGCTACTTTCAGTTATTATGGCCAAAGGACTCTGACTCTCAAATAACATGTTATAGCAATGTTATTCAGTACCATCTGAATTACTCTAATTACTGGCAAAATGGAAATATAGTCCCTGAAATGGTTCTTCCTTAGGACATTATTACTTTGACCAGAACACTTTAATATGGCCTCTAGAAGCACAGAAAAAAAATTATCAAGGTCACATTGAATGGTTTTATGTCATAGACATAATTTTCTTTCTCTAGAAAAAACCACCAATAATTTCAACTGCAAAGAATTCCAACTGGGCTATTTCAAGCAGGGGATGTTGGCACATGCTCAGAATCCCAGAAGTCAGGTTGCTATAGCAGAACTAGAAAAATGGAAATTTGAAGCTAGGCTATCTCAAAGACACCAAAAGGATTACAGACAGCTTCTTTTTCTGAGGCAGCAAAGGGCTCCGCGGTAAGGACAGTTCACAGATGTTATGAGCATTCCCAAAGGCCGAGTGCTCTTCTACCTTTGTCTAGGCCTCCTACCTGTACCAGCTGGTTATAGTCATCATGATGTACAAGGAGGCACAGCAGAGCATCAAGTGGAAAAAGGAATAGCTATACTGCACCCCCTCCTTCTCATTGTCTAGAGCCCGCCGAGGCTGTCCATCTTCTTCGTCACTGGCTCCATTGGTGGTATCACCAAGGATAACACTGTCACTCCCAGAGAGGGTCAGCTTGTTAACTTGGCTGTTGCTTGAAGTACGGATGCTGGAAAGTAATCCCAAGAAAGTCACATCAAAAGGGAACTGTTTTAGATGAAATGATTCTTTTACTCACATGTGTAGTTATTTCTGGGCTGTTCCTACTTTGGACACAGAATGCCTGCTGAAAGCTCTGCCCAATAACCTGCTGCCTGTTATTTCTAGGACAGTACTCTTAGTAGTTGCTACACCATGGCTCACTTCCAGAAACGTGCTGCCCAGGGTCTATGCTACAACTCCACAAGTGCCTCTGCTATGCCTGTCCTGTACCACCTAGCTCTTCCCAGCTCCTTCACGTCTCTGTCTCAGTGTCATAGGCTCTTGAAATTCTTCCCTGACATCATCCCTTTCTAGGCTGGGTGAGAAGCTTCCTCTCACTTCTCACAGCTCTCTAGGTGTCCTGCCCCAACACTTGTCAATCCTGCCTTGCTAGCTACAGTCATCGCTGGATTGCCAGCACTGTAGATGCTCACGGAAGAACAAGTTAATGAATAAATAAAAAAAATACATACAAAGGACAAAAACTATATGATTATTTCAAAAGAAAGAAAAGGCATGTGACAAAATTTGGTATTCCCCCCATTACATAAAATAAACATACACCATCACTCTCTTCAGACCCACCAGAAGAGGGCATCAGATCCCATTACAGATGGTCATGAGCCACCATGTTGCTGGGAATTAGGACCTCTAGGAAAGCAGGCAGTGCTCTTAACCACTGAGCCCTCTCTGAAAATACTCAAAGTAGGAATATAAACTTTCTTCAACTGATGGAGCTGACGCCCTCAGACTTAATGGTGAAATATAAAAACTGCGCTCCCAAGGTCAACAAAAAAGAAAAGATCCCACTTTTGAATTTACTATTTAACACTGTACCAAAAGTTCTAGCTACAGAAATTTGACAAGAAAAAGAGATAGTTAGCCGGGCGGTGGTGGCGCACGCCTTTAATCCCAGCACTTGGGAGGCAGAGGCAGGTGGATTTCTGAGTTCAAGGACAGCCTGGTCTACAGAGTGAGTTCGAGGACAGCCAGAGCTACAAAGAGAAACCCTGTCTCGAAAAACTAAATAAATAAATAAATAAATAAATAAATAAATAGAAAGACCAAAAAAAAAAAAAAGAAAAAAGAAAAGAAAAAGAAAAACAGAAAAGAGATAGCTAGTAATTGATTTCAGCCGGGTCCTATATACAGAAGGCACCTATCTCTATAGCTCAAGTTACACTATGGTGGAGTCAACACGCAGGGGCTGATATAGAAGGTTCAAGAATTCAATGGTGCACATAGACAAGCTGACAAACATACACACATAAATAAAAGTAAATGAAACCAAAGCAAAACCCAAGACATTTTGCAGATAATAAAACAAATGAGCTAGAATGGTGGTGCATACTGTGCAGCCCTGACAACCTGAACTCAACCCCTGGAATGCAGAGTGGGAAAGAGAAAACCAGTTCCTGAAAGTTGTCCTATGGCCTCTGTATCATGCAGTGGGCACACACCTACCCACTGGGAGGTGAGGGACCAATTCCAGCCCATCGTAGGCTATTCACCAAGTGTGAAGCTAGCCTGTACATGAGCTCTTGTCTCAACAACAAAAAGCTCAAAAATAGCCAGCCTAACTGAGGGTACAGTTTCCTGATCTCTAGGCCAGCAAGATGGCTCAGAGGGTAAAGGTGCCTGCTGCTAAGCCTGATAATCTCAATTCAGCACCCAGGACCCACACTGAAGGAGAGATCCATGTCTCAAGTTGTCTATTAACCTTCACATGCACACCATGGTGCAACCATTGCTCCCCCAGGAAAACATTCACACAAAATGGTTAAAAAAATAAATCTATACATAAACTGGAAGGCTACTCAGACTAAAATGATAAATGTCTGAAATATTATATACCAAAATATTACCTATGGTAAAAGTAGATTCAAAAGGAGAATATATTGGTCTTTCTTATTTTGCCAATTTATAGAAATACATTTATCTTGGCTAATTTTGAATGTTTCTTGTTTTTATATAGGTAATCTAATACACTGTATTGTACGGGAGGATGAAAGGACTGGGAGAGTGGGTATGAATGAAGCTGTAGCTGTGGTTTTCTGCCAGGGACTACTGAACTTACAGTTCTTTACTTAATATAAACGAGGAAATAAGAACGTATAAAAAAAATTTATAATAATTATGGAGACCACACCCAGGGCTTAACACACACCAGACAAGCACTCTACATTCCAACTAATACTTCCTGCCCAAATCATTGCGTTTTATCCTAAAAGATAATTTTGAATATCCCTTTTCCAGCTCATCTATAATCAAATGAAGATTTTTATCTTCTATGTAGATAGGTACCTCCAGAAGACCACAAGGATTATGAGAGAATTTTCTTAACTTTAGGAAACTCACACAGCTGGGTTGGCCAAGATATGTAAACAACTTTTCATTAAAAAGAACTATACTGAACCAGGTATGGTGGCATATGCCTTTAATTCCAGCGCTGGTGAGGTAGAGGCAGGCAGATCTCTGTGAGTTCCAGGCCAGCTTGGTCTACAAAGAATTCCAGGACAGCCAGCGACACACAGAGAAATCCTGCCTTGAAAAAACAAAAGCATATGAACAGAAACTCCCTACATTATTTTAATTCTTCACAATGCTTTAAAAACATATTATTCACTTTCATGAGAATATTGTATTAAGCACGTCTTACCTAGGACTTACCTAGAATATATAAGGCAGAAAACAAAGATAACCAGTCCCCAAATATCATCCAAATTCATGAAGTGTCCACTCTGTGATGGTGGAGCATAGGCAGGAGCAAGAGTGGTTGAATTCGCTGGAGACACAGTTGGTGAAGTTAAGTGTGTGATGATGCTCACAAGGGAGGGGTTGCAGGAGCGCTCTGAAAGGCAGTCGTTTGTTACCATTAGTTACAGCTCACTCTTGCTCACACCAAGAATGAATCAGGGGGCTTGTCTACACACCAGTTAGTGTGTTTAAAACACAGGAAAACTATGCTTAGAAGAACCTGAAAGTCAGCAGTCAATACAGTATTTACATCACAATCAATGATCTAGCTTTAGAATAAATACTAAATAATATTATTATTTAGAATAAACACTAGTTTTTATAAATGTCTATTGATAAGTGACTTCACTGTTTTGACAGTGTTTCAATCTGGTGTTCAGGCTTTCCAATCAGGAGCTTCTCCTTATTTTGTCAGTTGCTTAATATAATCACTATCATCTTGGCGGTCAAGGATCGTACAGTCATCTGTACTTATGAAGAAGAGTCTGTAGAATAGTCTATTGAGAAGTAATTCCTTAATCCCAGCACTCAGGAGACAGAGAAAGGAGAATCCTTGTGAGACCAGCCTATCCACATAACCAGCTACAGGACAGCTAGGACTACAAAAAAGGGACCTAATCAAGGGACCCATGGGGGTTGGTTGGGGGAGAGAAAACAGAAATTCCGCCAAAAGGCCAAACAAGCTCATCCCTGCCTTACACTTTAAACTGTGTGACTTAGTCTAGGTTAGATAAAGCCTACACTGTGCACTGGGCTGGTGTGAGCAGACAGAACCACAGTAAAGGTTAGTTGCACTGCTTGTGCCACATCTGCTCCAGCTCTACTGTGCACACTACCAAGAGTACTTGATCAAGAGTCAGCCATCCCCTTACCAGGTTCATTGGTCATGGCGGACCACGTGAGGTATAGGGTGTACAGAGTGATGATGGAGGACTGCAGGAGGCCAGAGCGAGGCTGATGTTCCTGTGGAATTAAAACAGAAACAATGTCACTGGGTCACAATGGATGACCTTCTGAGAGCCCGTGTGTCTCCATGGGATGCAGTCAAATCTGACAGAAATTCTGTCAGAAATTGCAATCTTACAGGCAGCCCTTCTGTTTGAGTTACTCTATAAAATAGTAAGGAAGATAATGCACCTACTATTGGTTTGGAAAAACATTTCATAATCTTGAGAACTTCTGTATATCACACAAAGGTTTTTAGACTGTTAAAGTTTCTAGTCTTTTTTTTTTTTTTTTTTTTTTGGTTTTTTGAGACAAAATTTCTCTGTGAAGCTCTGGTTGTCTTGGATCTCACAGAGATCTGCCCGCCTCTGTCTCCCAAGTGCTGGGATTAAAGGCATGCACCACCACTGCCTAGCTTTCTAGATTCTATATGAAAAAAAAATCTGCTCAACTCTACCACAAGATAGCTAAATTACCCGCCACTTCTTGGAATCTTCAGCTTTCTTTTTGTTCGTACTAATTCTTTTTTTCTGGATACTGTTACCCAAACTCAATTCTGCTTCAACCTCGAGCATTGCTGGAGTTGGAGATGTACAATGTCCAGCAAGTAATTAAATGTGAGTTAACAAAGAATTTTATTTTGAGACAGGATCTCATGTAATCTAAGGCTGGCCTTGAACTCACTAAGCCAAAGATGACAACCTTGAAAAACTGACCCGTAAGCGTGCACCTCCAGAATGCTAAGATTACAGGCGTGCAGCACCTTGCCCAATGCTGATCAAACTCAGGGCCTCATGCAGGCTGAGAAAGCACTCTATTAACCAACCAAGCTACAGCCTAGCCCTTCATGCTTTTTAAAAAAAAATATGGTGTGTGTGTGTGTCTCGCACGCGTGGTGGGAGATCTCAAGTTTGGAGGTCAGGAGTTGGTTCTCCTTCCACTATGAGGTTTCAGATATGGTACTAAGGTCAACTGGCAAGCACCTTTACTGGCTGAGGCATCTCGGACACTTCCTCCTCATTTCTTGCGGAAGGGCTGCACTACAGTTTTCTAGATTAGCCTCCAATTCCTTTAGGGATTATCACCCTTATTTATATGTAGCTGTGTGAAGGTCAGAGGGCAACTGCAAGAGTCAGTTCTCATCAGCCCTATGGTTCCAGGGAACGAAACTCAGGACACAGAGCATCTTTACTCACTGAGGCACCTCACCAGCCCCAAGACCTAGTTTTTAATGATCGGTAAATGAATGTTATCACAATATAGGAACTCAGCTTGGCATGGTGGCACATGCCAACTAGGTGGTCCTGAGGTTCAAGGCCTGGAGTGTATGGTAAGTACTAAGCCAGCTAGGGCTATAATGTGAGAGCATCTCAAAATATAAAATTAAAAAAAAAAGGAAAAAAAATCACCACTCAATACCTGCTTCTGCTTACTAAGCTATATTTTCAAAGATTAAAACATGATATGGAGAAATATTAAGTAGCTAGCCATTGATATAAATTCATTGATTCACTAAGGACTGATAACCAGTGTTGTCCCTGTCTGGAATTTAAGCTTAGCCACATTCATTCTTTCACGGGAGAAAGCAGAGAACCTCCATACCTGAACTTTGGGGAGGATGGATACAATAGAAACTGCAACACAAAAAATCAGGTTCAGGCTGATGAAGACCTTGTTTTCCGTGCAGCCGTCGGGCTTGGTGTAGAAGACGTAGAGCAGCGCGGCGAAGATGATCGACAGGATGTAGAAGAGGCTTGTAAAGGACAGCAAGGCTGGAAAGGGGAAACAAGGATGGACAGTGTCCACCATACCAACCATGGCTACAAGTCAGATCCATTTTCTTCCATGCTGTACAACTGAAGACACCTAAGTCATTCCTATGGTGAGCAGTAAGCCACAGGAAACATTGAAATGCCCCAAGGTTAAAGTTTCATACTATTTTGAAATGATTCACCATTAAACTCCAAAATCCACTAAGTAAAAGTGTGTATGTATCCCAGTCTTTCAACAGCACGGTCAGGGTCAGGCCTAATGGGTGGGTACCTGTAATCCTAGTTTTTGGTTAGCTAAAGCAGAAGGATCACAAGTTCAAGGCTAGCCTGCTACACAGAGCTCATCTCCTCAAACAAGGTCAGAGCTGATAGTAACTATATGCCAGGGACTATGTCTGCGGAATAAAACCGACCCTTTTTGAGACAATTTCATTCTGTAGCCACTGGCTACTCTAACCTGGCTCCCTTCGCAAGTAATGACATGACCTCTCTGATCTGGGAAAACAGTTCATCTGCTACTTTCAAATAATCTGCAGAAGTGTTCTTTTCCATTCACATGGATAATCAATTAGCTGTATAATTCTGAATCTGAAAGTTCTTGCTTAGCACCTCAACAGAAGTAGTTACATTATAAACTAATAGAATACAACTGATTTTAGTATGCTCATCTTCCAGTGATGCATACAATTCACAACAGGCATAACTGGTAAAAGGCAGCTACAGTAGCTGGAGAAATGGTTCCTTGGTTAAGAACACTTCTGGCTGTTCTTCCAGAGGGCGTGGGTTTCAGTCCTAGGGGAATCTGATGCCCTCTTCTGGCTTCCATAGGAGCTGCATGCATAGAATGCACAAACATAAATGCAGGCAAAACACCCACATTCATTTAAAAAAATAGAAATCTTACATTGAGAGTTTATATAATTAAAACTGGAGACGTTACTATACACCCTACGTAAGACAGCAGTATGAGGCTCTGAGGTGAGTATAGATACCTACCAGCATACCAGAGCCTTGGGTTTCCCTCCTCCATTCGATTTACCCATAATTCATTCCAAGAGTGGGCCAAGTCTACCAAGAGCACCAGCTGGATGAAAATGAAGAAAGTGGCCCCAAACATTCCAGCACTAAACCAGACTGTAAACAAAGAAAAGTTATTTTTCACTGTAAGAATAACATTTCAGAGTGACTGCCAAACTTTGTGAGCAGTCATCAACAGGGTAAAAGATTCTATCATCTATTTCCAGCAGTACAGTATGACTTTTATCATTTCAAATTTACAAGTATTTGAGGAATGTCGTGCTGGATTTCATGTCTTTAGAAGCATTTTAATCTATTTGTGTGCGTGCATGTATACGCACACGCACAGACATCAGAGAATAGTTTCTGTGACTCAGTTCCCTCCTTACGAGATAACAGGGTTCAAGTTCAGGCTGGACATCAGGTTTCATGGCAATTAGCTTTCACCCTCTGAGACCTTTTAAAACTTGTTTTAGTCTGTACCAAAAGGAGCCTAGTGAAATAATCTACAAGAGGCAGTTACTCATGACTATGCTTTAGCCCATTAAGAGTATAAAAGTCCTTTAAAAATGGACAGACCAAGAATAAGCTAATGCCTCCAAAATGTATCTTGATGCTCAAGCTCAGAGGTACATTTTTCTTTTTGTTGTTTTTTTTTTTTTGGGGGGGGGGAGGTTTTGTTGCTGTTGCTGTTGTTTTGTCCTTTTTAAAAATTTTACTTAACATGTGAGTGCTCTGCTGCATATACATCCGAATGCGAAAAGATAACTGCCTTATAGATGGTTGTGAGTCACCATGTGGTTGCTGGGAACTGAACTCATGACCTATGAAGAGCAGGCAGTGCTCTTAATCACTGAGCCATCTCTCCAGCCCCAGTACATTACTTTTTAAAGACAAAACCACAATTACATCAGTGTTTGAGTGGGGTTGGAGTAATATCTGTCTTTCTGCAGAGCTTAGCAATATTTTCCAGACAACACATGACAATTTATTTATATTTCTCCTCTAATTATTTTAGTTTTGTTTAAGCTTGCACAAATGAAATTATTTCGGCTAATATATCTGAACCATGATCAAGATCATGGACAGTCTAAATGTGCTGCCAAGGTAGATGTAGCTATTGGGGGTGAAATAGGGGTGTCCAGGCAGATACAAACACAGGTAAGACAAGATGGTGTTACTTAGTCATTTCAATAGGCTCTCACATTCCAAAGAACTCCACAGCTTTTCCTTTATTTTTAGTGGAGGGGGAAAACCACATGGGAGACTGTCAGATGTCACCTGTTGCCGTGGTATAGAAGCAAATTAAGACAGGGAAAAGGCAGCATGATGAAAAGGCAGCTCTCTGATGAACTTCTTATGAGAAGATAAACAAATAGTAACAACATATAGTTCTAGAAAAGCAAAGAAGTGGACTACCTCCTGGTTTTAATCCATTATTGTCTTAATATGTAGTTATACAACTGGACATCATGTCTTAAAGGCCAGTCCTACAAATCACTAACAGAAATGCAGCTCTTGCTGGGTGGTGGTGAAGTACGCCTTTAATCCCAGCACTTGGGAGGCAGAGACAGGCGGATTTCTGAGTTTGAGGCCAGCCTGGTCTACAGAGTGAGTTCCAGGACAGCCAGGGCTATACAGAGAAACCCTGTCTCAAAAAACCAAAAAAAAGAAAGAAAGAAAGAAAGAAAGAAAGAGAAAAGCAGTTCTTAATTACCACAGAGTTGTGCATATTAACCCCTCAGTATTAAGTCATACCTTTTGTGAAATGGCCCCCAGGGATGTAGAAAGATCCAACCATGATACCAATAATGGCAGCAATTTTGAAGAACCAAAACCTATTAAAATATAAAAATTCATTTATGAAATGCAAATTTTCATTCTTACACTGAGAAAAATACATTTCTGATTACAAAAATAAGCCCAACTAGTATTTGCAACATAAATATCTAGGCTTGTTTCTTCATTTGATCCCAGTCTACTTCTCTCAATATTTTACAGAAAATACATTAAACCAGGCCTTGTGACACATGCCTGTAATCCCAGTTACTCAAGAGGCTGAAGTATGAAGATAGCAAATTCGAGGACAGCACGGGCTTTAGAATAAACCAAAACCCTGTTTCAGTAAAGCAAATAAAAAGTAAAAGTAAAAGTAAAAAAAAAAAAAAAAAAAAAAAAAAAAAAGGCTGAGGCTAGAGTTCCGCCGTAGAACAGCTGTCCAGAACATTCACGCCATAGGTGCGATCTCACCTCCCCCACACACAGTATTATAAGCAAGCTATACTGGTCCAGCAGAAAGCAAGAGGAGACTCAACTCTTCGGATGAGCTTCATTAGCATTACAGTACCATAGACATAGGCAGCCACAACAGACAACAGTTATGGATAGCAAGATGGAGGTCCTAAAGGGGAAAAGCCACTAGCTCCCTTCAGTTCCCCAGAACATAGAGTTTCAGCATTATGTGATTATATAAAGGGACCCTGGTGGAAAAGATCCTGGAAGAAGATAGGTTATTGGGGAACTTGGAGGAGTTTCTTCAATACCCAGTCTATGTGTGACTTAGTATACGGACTTAGTCACACAGCAGAATGGCACTAGATAAAAATAACCTGGTAACTCAAGGATGGGTGACTTGCTAGTAGCTACAAGTGGGAGGCAGAATTGGGCGGCAGAGGAGTTGGGTGATTTCTGGGAGAGAACAATCAGCATGCAAGATAAGCCGCTCACATTTATGAGTAAATTTAAGAGTCATTCTAGTTTTAGCACATAAAGATAATACTTTTTCTAGAATTACAAGTTCTAACAGTTCTACATGGAGAGTCATTCATTAATTATTATGTTTATGGCAGAAATTATCCTCCAATCCTACATTTACAAAATAGGACACAATACTTTGTCCATAACAACAGAACTCATTAGCAAAAAGGCCAGGACCAATATGACATAATACATCTAGAAGCTTTACTTCTGTCTTGAGCTGGCTATGGGGGTGCACACCTATGAGCCTGGCTATGGGGGTGCACACCTATGACCCTGCTGGGGGTAGAGGTATGATGATCATGATTTCAAGGCCAGCCTGAGCTGATGAGGTCTGTCTCAAAAAACCCAAACCAACCAGTCAATGTGGCTTGCATGGCAGACCATGAAGTATTAAGCTTTGAGAACGGAACACATATAACTTAAATCCTATCTTCAACCTTTCCCAGCTTAAGAGATCTTAGGTAAAATATTTAACTTCTCTGAATTTCAGTTACAACATCTATAAAAAACACAGTATTTGCTGGATGATGGTGATGTACACCTTTAGTCCCAGCACTAAGGAAGAGCCAGACATATCTCTGAGTTCAAGGCCACTCTATTCTGCAGTGAGTTCCAGCCAAGACTACGAAAAGAAACCCTGTCTCAAAAAACCAAGTAAATAAAAATAACAAAGCTCGCACCAGCTTCCAGCTGAGAAGTACATGTGAGAGAGGAACTGTGGTCAGAAGAGGAGCCAAGAGAATGAGTCAGCAGCCCACATACATTTTCTCTTTTTTTTACTGTTTATGTATGCTGTGTGTGTACTCATGTGTGATTATGTATGTCAAGTACATGCTTATCTCTAAATGAAGAAAACATACAATGTCTAAGCACTGTGTCTGACCTATTTTACGAGGTACTTTAAAATAAAAATCTAGAAACCTAAAAGAAAGCTATCGAAATTTATGACATTAACTTTTGTTCATGTGTACATCTGACCACTGATTAAATATTCCATTGTTCCCATTCCAACGGCATCTTAACTGCTGAGGGAGAGGAACCACACACATCGAAAGACAATCTTACATACCCATTGTGTACTGCTGCTCTGGGATCTTTACTTGTTTTAACTTTTAACATGAGCAAAAAGAAGGCAAAGAAGAAGATGGCCACAGCAAAGTTGATCCGATACACAGCTTTAAAACCGACCAGCACATCACACTCTTTCTCTGCCTTTGTATCAATCATCTTGATTTGAAATCCTCCTTCACAGAATCCAGGAATCTGAGGAGGCAAGGAATTTCAATGCCATGAGAATATCAAAATCAAAACAATGCTGCCTCTATATGAAGCAGGGAATTGTTAAAAATAAATAAGACATGCCCCCTTAGCAATTTCAAGACTGTGAGCTTTCTCTCTTTGACATCCAACTGACTACAATCTTCTTACCTAAGAACACATACAGATCACACTTAAAAACTAAAAGCTGAGACGGAAAGACTGCTTAGCAATGACGAGCACTTTGTACTTCTGCAGAGGACCAAGATTCAGTTCCCAACGCCCACATGGCTGCTCACAACGGTCCATCTGGAACTCCAGTTCCAGGGGAGCCACCAATGCTTTCTTCTCACCTCCAAAGGCACCAAGCACACATCGTGCACACACAGACATGCAGCCAAAAAACTCATACACCACACCCACCCACACACCCACCCACACACAAAATGACCACGACAGTTAACCCTAAAAGTTTGGGAGGCTGAAGTAAGATGATCACAAGTTCCCAGCCAACTGGGATTACATGGTGAGTTTAAGACTAGCTTGGGTTATTTAGTAAGCCCTTTTCTGAACAGGGTTACCTCAGTGGCAGGACTCAGGATGAGGCTATGGGTTAAGTCCTCAATTAATCCATCTTCCTGAGGTTGTCTCCTTTTTCCCCACAAAATTTTCCAGCTACAATAAACTCCTTCTTAAGTAAAACACTAATGTAAGCTTAAAACTTAAAGAAGGAAACGAGTAATTTCTAAATTCTGTTTTTCTCTGGTTTGTTAGATCAGAGCCCAACAATGCTCATTCTGACTTCTATGTCTGCAAGAAGACAAACACCTCATAGGTAAGTTTTAAGCTCAATGTTAAATGCCTTAAATTACTATGACTGGAGAGATGGCTCTGTGGTTAGGAGCACTTGGTTCCACTTGCAGAAGACTGGGGTTTCCAAGCCAGCACTCATATGGTAGGCTCACAACTATCCATAACTCCAGTTCCAGGGGACACAACACCCTCTTTCTGGTCTCTGCAGGTACCATGACACATTTGAAGCTTATTCATATATGTAGACAGAACACTCATATAAAGAAAATAAAATTTCGGCCGGGTGGTGGTGGTGCACGCCTTTAATCCCAGCACTTGGGAGGCAGAGGCAGGCGGATTTCTGAGTTCGAGGCCAGCCTGGTCTACAGAGTGAGTTCCAGGACAGCCAGGGCTATACAGAGAAACCCTGTCTCGAAAAACCAAAAAAAAAAAAGTATTGGCAAATATAAACATTAAAAAAAATAACAAACAACATGGTAAGATGCTTTAATGTCTACTTACCTTCTTCAGCTGAGTTTGCATGCCTTCTGTCATCATGATCCAAGACACAAGAGCGCCCAGGATGAGAATAGAAGCATAGATGAGCCGAGTTACGGTGGAATTCTTACTGCCGGGACAACAACTGCACAGCAGACATGATGCACCACCACAGAGGCATGGAACCTGTAAGAGCAACACCATGGCCATGAGAGCTCCTTCACTGCTCTTAGGAGGCAAACTGGGGTTTTGAAGTCTTAACAGAATCCCCATTTAATGTGGCATCCCCAGCACTTAGAAGGCAGAGGCAGAAGGACCACGGGTTCCAGATTACACGGGCTACAAATCAAGAAAATCAAGGCATAGTAACAAGACATGCCCACTCTCAGCATTTAAGAAGCTTATGGAAGAGTATCACAAGTTTGAAGACAACTGGGAATACATAAGTCTGTCTCACAACACAAAACAGGTTAAGACAAAGTAAAAATGCAAAGGCTTTAGGACCAATATTATTTCCACCACTTTAGCAAAAATGTATTTAACCCTAGTTTCCTGTCTGTAAAATGGAGTCATTAATAAAATATTCCTCCTTTAGACTTTATTACAATAAATGAGCCCACCACACCGTGCCTGAAACAGAAAGACCTTCCAAAATATAGTCACAGAGAACATATTTTATGTGAAAACAATGTAATAAAAATACAAACAACTCTACTTTTTGTTTACTGTTAGCTCACAAAGTGAGGTTTCATAAGGCAACATTATTACAGCCAGACATGGTAGCTCATGCCTTTCATTTTAGTACTTGTGAGGAAAAGTAGGCAGATCTCTATGAATTTGATGCCAGTGTGGTCTACATAGTAAGTTTTAGGCCAGCCAAGGTTATATGGTGAGGCCCTCTGCCAACATTGCCCCACCCCCCAAATAAGACAACATTACATTCGTGTTTGGAACTACCCAACTTTGCACTGATATGTGAGACCATCCAATCACAGTACAAGAAAGAGTTAGTAGAGATTATAACCAGTAACTATTAACAGTAGACGGCTAGAGCTAGAGAGATGGCTTAGCAGTTAAGTGCAGTTGTTTCTCTTGAAGACTGGAGTTCAGTTCCCAGTAACCCACATGGTAGCTCACAACCAGCTAACTCTAGTTCCAGGGATCCAAACTTCTCTTCTGACCTCTATGGGCACCGGGCATGTAGGTGGTATATAGACAGAAATGTAGACAAAACACTCTACACATAAAATAATCTTTTTGTTTGTTTGTTTTTCGAGACAGGGTTTCTCTGTATAGCCCTGGCTGTCCTGGAACTCACTCACTCTGTAGACCAGGCTGGCCTTGAACTCAGAAATCCACCTGTCTCTGCCTCCCAAGTGCTGGGATTAAAGGTGTGCGCCACCACTGCCCGGCCACATAAAATAATCTAAAACGTTTAAATACAAAAAAGAGGCTGACTCTAGTCTTATGACATGGTCTTTACAGCTTTTACAAATGTCTCAGACTATTTGTATTAGAGCAAGCTGATTAACTTAACAGTTCTCTCAGATGTAAACTGAGCCTAATGCCACCTCTCATGTGAAGGAGGTCACTGTGAAGAATGGCATGCATGTCCAGAATAGAAAGTACTCAGCCCAATCCCTGACCCACAAAGGCCTCAGTATACTGCAGTAAGTGTGTCCAACAGGAAGAGTGAGCTAGATTAGTCAGCCTTAGTCCAAAAGAGCCAAATTATAGTTCAAATCTGGTGACTGTAATTCAGGTGTTTTGAGCCAGGCATGGTGGTGCAGGCCTAAAATCTTTACATTTGAAAGACAGAGGCAAAAACAGCACCAAAAGATTCGAGGCCAACCTGGTCTTCAAAAGCAAATTCCAGGGCTGCCTTGCAGTTTATCTCAAAACAAAACAAAACTGTTAAGACCTAATGAGACCAATGTGGGGAAAAAAAATTTAGACACTACCTTGAGGTACAGAAGAAAGCTAGATGAAGACACAACTGGGTGGAACTACTCTAATCTCACAAGGCTCCTTTTGCTCTAAGAGCTGCCTCTGAACAGAAGCAGGAAGAGTTAACCTTAACAAGCTCTGGCTACAATTTATTTTAGGACATTCAAATACTACTATAAAAAACTCCATTCTTGGCATAGTGGTGCATTCCTTTAATCCCAGAACTCAGAAGGCAAGGGCAGGTAGATATGGAGTTCAAGGCTACCTTGATCTACAAATCAAGTTGCAAGGCTACACAAAGAAACCCTGTCTCAGGGGAAAACAAACAAACAAACTAACAACAAAAAATTCCATTCCAATTTTTTTTTTTAGGAGACATGGTCTCTTAATATAGTCATTAGCTGCCCTAGAACTTGCTCTGTAAACCAGGCTGGGCTAGTCTTAAACTCAGAGATCTGCCTACCTTTGCCTCCTGAGTGCTGAGATCAAAGGCCTATGCCACTGTGCTCAGCCTATTCCATTCTTTAATGAGTAAGTTCAGATTCTGCTTGAGGCTTGACCCCCAGAAACACCTGATGACCCTGCACAGATAGTTAATTCAAAGTACTCTGCTATTTTTCAGGGAAATAAGAATTTTGCGCCGGGCGGTGGTGGTGCACGCCTTTAATCCCAGCACTTGGGAGGCAGAGGCAGGTGGATTTCTGAGTTCGAGGCCATCCTGGTCTACAGAGTGAGTTCCAGGACAGCCAGGGCTACAAAGAGAAACCCTGTCTTGAAAAACCAAAAAAAAAAAAAAAAAAAAAAATTTTGCCTAACAATCAAGAAAGAAATGAACCTCATATAGCCACCCAGGGTACTACAACTATACTAATTTGAGACACAGTCCCATGAAAGTAGCCCCTTAGAACAGTAGTTTCTATTGTTTTGCCTGCAGCAGCTGTACTGTAGTGTATCTAATAAGCTCTCTCTTGTCCTTTTCTGTCTTTGGTGGATTATTTGCATCCTGGGCATTATTGGCCTGTCAAGCCCAAATCTACAAGCCAAAACAAGTAAAGACTATCAGCAAACCAAAAGGGCAGAGGTACACAGTCTCTACTCAACCACAGAAGTTAACAACCCTGAGCCACCACAATATCAGATCTATAGATTCCACCCATTACAATTGCTTATACCGATCTGGTAGATCGATTTCCTTTAAAGTACCAGCAAACCAACTGTGATGGTTTGTATATGCTTGGCGCAGGGAGTGGCACTATTAGGAGGTGTGGCTTTGTTGGAGTGGGTGTGTCATTGTGGGCGTGGGCTTTAAGACCCTCTTCCTGCTGCCTAGAAGACAGTCTTTTCCTGTTTGCCTTTGGATGAAGATGTAAAACTCTCAGGTATGCTGCACCATGCCTGCCTGGACACAGCCATACCCCTGCCTTGATAATGGACTGAACCTCTAAACCTGTAAGCCAGCACCCATTAAATGCTGTCATTGTAAGAGCTGCCTTGGTCATGGTATCTGTTCACAGCAGTAAAACCCTAACCAATATACCTTTTTATTTCTGTGTCATAAATACCTTCAGAGGAGGTTGTACTTTACACCTTTGCATAGTAGGAAACTAGTAACTATTGTGCAATCTACCTGTTACTATATGCTCTATCTTTTCTCTATTTCATAAATGAAGAACTCAATCTTCTGCTGCTCAGGCCAAAAACCTAGCCTCAAAACCTTCTTTTAAGTCTCCCTCACTGGACTTAAAAGAAGCAATTTCTAGAAAATGTGGCCACAAATCCCATTTAAAGAGATGTTTTAAAGATAGGGGAGAATACTTCTCATCCCGCTGTAAAACAAACACCACAAATCTATCCCACTTAGGTTTTCAAAAGACAAAAAAATCCTTGTCCTCATGCTAAAATCCCCTCTTTGCCTCTTCCTCTTTCCCTTCTAAGTTAGATATACAAGCAGCAAGACCTAATCATCTGTCTGAGTTACTCATCATCACGAACTCAGTCTTACATATACTCTTTTCAGGAAAAAAAAAAAGCAAGCCAGGAAAGTGCAATTCTTCTGTAACCACAGCACTCAGGAGGCTGAGGTAGGACAGCCTGAGCTAACAGTGAAATCTTGTTCCCCAAATAATAATTTGAAGTATTTTGTTAAGACATGCCAGTAGTGGGGACTCACACCTGTAGTTCCAGCACTAGATATGCTGAGGTAGGAGGATTGCTGCAAATTCAAGGCCAACCTGGGCTACCAAGTAAAACCTTCTTTAAAAAAAAAAAAAGTAAAGGCCAAACTTCTTTGCCAGGAGTGGCACACTCCTACAATCCCAGTAGGAGGCTCAATCTGGAGGACTGTGAATGAAAGGCCAGCATGGGATACTCAGGGAGTATCTGTTGACCTATCGCAATAAGGCAAAATTTAAAAATACAATAAGGCAATATTAGACAAATACAAAAGTCCTTTGAAATCTTTAATTAGACTTTAAGACTGGACTGGAAGTGTAGCTGGAGGTACTCTCAGAGATGAGTGTTCTGGGTTCGATCTTAAACACCCAAAATGACAAAAGACATTACCTAGCCGGGCAGTGGTGCCGCACACCTTTAATCCCAGCACTTGGGAGGCAGAGGCAGGTGGATTTCTGAGTTCGAGGCCAGCCTGGTCTACAGAGTGAGTTCCAGGACAGCCAGGGCTACACAGAGAAACCCTGTCTCGAAAAACAAACAAACAAACAAGTAAGACATTACCTAAAAAATAAAAGCATACGATGGGTATCTATGAGATTTGGCTCCTTGATATCCTGCATCCCCTTTTGGTAGGGGATGGGAAATGGGTTAAGTACTGGCAATTGGAGACTAAGCCTACAGCCTCTAAAGATCTACCCATAAACTATAATTTGGGCCTCCCTGTTTTGAGACAAGGTCTCCCCAAGTGCTGAATAACGATCTGCCATGCCTGGCCCTCCACAGCCTGTAATTTCATATTATTCTCTTCTCTCATTCTACTATAGTATACTAACCCCCTACTGGGTAAAAACTGAATTAACAAAATATGCAAGGAGTTTCTAGATATGAACACATGGATAGGATATTTTCAGATTTTGGTTTTAAACCCGGGGGAAATGAACAAGATATCTGCGACATTATCTCTGCCCTGAGACATGCCATTGATATGAGCAGAGACTGAGTCCTTGATTCATTACATTAGTTCGGGAAGAAGCAATTAGGCATTGGTTCAAGCTACCATGTTCCTCTGAGGCAGATTTGTTAGATTATTCCATAGATTAAAGAGATCCTAAAATTAACTTCTAAAAAATGTTCTACTGGCCGGGCGGTGGTGGCGCACGCCTTTAATCCCAGCACTTGGGAGGCAGAGGCAGGTGGATTTCTGAGTTCGAGAGTTCGAGGCTAGCCTGGTCTACAGAGTGAGTTCCAGGACAGCCAGGGCTACACAGAGAAACCCTGTCTCGAAAAAACCGAAAAAGAAAAAAAAAAATGTTCTACTATTGACAAAGTGATCTGACTAATTTCTTCACTTTATCCTCACTACAGCTCTGGAGAGGAATGCTAGATTTGTTTAATCCCAAAATATTTAGGCCGCGGGGCTTCTAATTAAATAAATGCCTACAGCCAGTCTCTTTTGCTCGAGACCTGCAGGGGTGCTGACTTCAAATTCGCGATCCCAAACCCACTCTGTAGCGCTGGCATATGCCGAGCTATGAAGAAAGATGACCCCAGTGACCCTAAATTACACGATACCACCTTCAACCCACTCTGTGAACCCCCGCCTTGGAACGTCGGCGTCGCCAGGCCGCCGGAACCCAGGGTCCGGAAGGCTCGCGGGGGCGGGGCGTAAATTGTAAACAATGGCGGCCCGGCCTCCCGCGACCCTCTGCCCACACCGAGGCAACTCAGACCATCGCACCCCGACCTCGGGACGTCGCCTACCAGGCCTGGGCTTCCGCAAGGCTCGGGCAGCCCCGGGCCTGCCCGCTCCTCTCTGCCAGCCTCCGAGACTGTAGGGTCCGCCTTGGGCGGCCTGACAACCATTCCCCGCGCGCCTACAGCCCCGGAGGACCAAGGCCTCGGGACTCACCCAGCTGGCGAGGGAGAAGACGCCGAGGACGGCCCCCATGGTGACGCTGGGGCCGAGACCCACCGCTCCGAGCAGCTCCCTGCACGGTGGCTAACTGCCCGCTGAGGCGTCGCCTCAGAAACGCGACGAATTCTCAAGCCGGAAACAGGGCCCGCCCTTCGCAGGACGCCCAGTTCACGTCATCAAGTGGCCCCGCCCACGGCCCACTCAGGGAAGAAGGTGGAGCCCAGAGGCCACGGAGGGTTCATGGCGTACAACCCTGGGCTCGCTTGGGGCGCTGGTGATCTGAGGAGACACAAAGGTGCAGAGAGACATAGCATGTCCCCTGCGAATTGCACTTCTCAGAAGAAGCGACATCTGTATTAACTAAAGATCCTCCAGACTGTTAATTTGTGGCTGGGCAGTACTTTGTGATTATGGAGAGATGGAATGTTTGCAAACTCAGAGGCAAACTGGCTATGTTGGGCCATTTAATAATCAGTTAACATCTGTAATCCCAGCACTAAAGAGGATGAGGCTGGAGGATCAGGAGTTCAAAGCTATCCTAGGCTACATCGCGTTCCAGGCAAACAAAAAAGCCACTCTTCTCACCTCACACACTACCGGAAACTAATCCAGCCTCTCCCCACCAGTCTCTCCCCCTCTCTGCTTCCCTCCTTCCCTCCCTCCCCCACCCCTTCCTCCCCTCTGCCAATTCAGTCTGCTGGCCAAATTCAACCCACTACTTTCTCTCCTTGTCCTAGACTCTTCCAAATGCCTCTGGCTGTGCTCTCCTATCTATAATAAAAACCTCCTCAAACATATCTTGGAGCAGTCACGTCCTCTTTTTGTTGGCAACAAGGAAAAGAAACTTAGGCTAAGTACTACCATTTCGTTTTCTAAATTCAAGGTCTCAGGCCCTAGGGGAGCTGGGGACTTCCCTAAAGCTGAGCAGCCTCTGTTGTAAACAATTGTCTGAGTCCAGATATTTCTGGGACAACTTCTCTATCTTGGTGGCAGGGCCAAACAAGGTCATCTTCCCAGACCTAGCAACGAATGCCTATCCCACTTGTCCAAATGTTTTCTTAATTTTCTGTTAGCCAGTAAAGAATATAGAAAGTTCTGTTATCTAAGCCAACATGCTTAAGTTATAAAATATATAACCGTTGCCTGCTATGCCCTAATCGACTGTGTGCAGCTTGCTCACTCCTTTGTTCCCTTATCATTCTAAAATTCCGGGCCAGAGTCCAGAAGACCTGGCCTTGAAGCCAGGTGCCCTGGATACAGCCCAATCTCCAACGGGTGCTCCCTTGCTTAACCCATAATGTCAAAATACAATTAGATAACACTGCAGCTCCCCACTACCCCCTCATCCCCTGCTTTGAGTTCCCATCCTTTAAAAATTTACAGCCTCCCTTGGAGAACGAAGTTCAGATTCCAAAATGGCCATCTATCTACCCGAGTGTTCAGAAAATAAGGCTTTCATCTTTAAGCTTGTCTCTGGAAGTGAGTTTTCTTGACTTCCACCCCAAAACCAACAATTTCATTCAATAGGTAATATGAAATGCTATATATAGAAGGATTTTTTTTTTCAGTAGAAGTATACTCAAGGGCTGGGGATTGTAGCTCAGTTGGTAGAATGCTTGTCTGGTGTTTGAACTCCACCACTACATAAAACCAGGCCTAGTGGTCTACATGCACCTAGTGCTTGGCCTGTAGAGGAAAGAGGAGAAGTTCAAGGTCAGGCTGAGCTTGGTGGTGTACACCTAGGATCCTAGTGCTTGGCCTGTAGAGAGTGTGGCCAAGCCAGTTCAGTCAGTCAACAGGGTCTCAAGGGAGGGAACAAGGATTGAATAAAGAAAAGACAATGAGACAACATTATAACACGACGCCAGCCAGTGCTGAGGCTGAAGTGGGCTTAGGTTTTTTCTATTCCGTTTTTATACCATTCTAGGTACATACAAAGAATAAGGTCAGTCCCAAGGCATAAACAAAGACTTTAAGGAACAAAAACGCATAGACAAAGGTCTCATGATTACTGTATTCAGGGTCTTAACAAGACTCATCAAGATACAAAGAACAGACAGGCGGTGGTGGCGCACGCCTTTAGTCCCAGCACTTGGGAGGCAGAGGCAGGCAGATTTCTGAGTTCAAGGCCAGCCTGGTCTACAGAGTGAGTCCCAGGACAGCCAGGGCTATACAGAGAAACCCTGTCTCGAAAAACCAAAAAAAAAAAAAAAAAAAAAAAAGATACAAAGAACACATTCCTCAGCTGAGTTTGATCTTGAGTCTACTTCCTTGTCCTAGCTGAAGGTCAAATTTCCGCCAAATTTCTAGAAGGCCACACAATGAGCTATCCTAAGAGAGGAAGATAAGAAGTTCAAGGTCAGGCTGGGCTTGGTGTACACCTTTAATCACAGCACTGGAGAGGCAGAGGCAGAAGAGAATTTGAGGCCAGCCTGGTCTACATAAGGAGCTCTAGAATAGCTAGGGCTACACAGAAAGACAATGTCTCAGGGGAAAAAAAAATCATTCAAGGATACCTTCTGCTATATATGGAGTTTGAAGCCAGTCTGAGCTACATAAGACTTTACATAAACAAAACAAAAGAGAAAAAAGAGAAAAAAGAAAGAAAGGAAGGAAGGAAGGAAGGAAGAAACAAAATGGGCCAGGAGTCTGGGCTCAGCAGTTAAAAGCACTGGCTGCTCTTACAAAGAACACAGTACTCACATGGCAGCCCACGATCTTCTGTAACTCCATTTCCCAGGGTCTCTGACACCCTGTTCTGACCTCTGTGGGCACCAGGCACACACACATGGTGAACAGACACACATGTAGGCAAGTCATCCATCACATAAAATAATAAAGTCATAAACTAAGGCAGTCTCAAATACACTGGTGGAAACATTGGGGAATCTTCTGATCAGATCAGCTAATAAATCTTTATTGCTAATTGATATAGAAGGACCCACCCCACTGTAGTGGTACTACCCCTGGGCAAGCGGGTCTGGACTATGTAAGAAAGTTGGCTGAACAAAAGCCAGAGAGAGCATGCTTGTAAGGAAAAATCTCTGATCTTTCTTTAGTTGCTGCCTCCAGGTTCCTGCCTTGAGCTTCTTTCCTGGATTTTAACCTATAAACTGAAATAAACCGTATCCTCCTCAAATTGCTTGTGGTCCTGGTGTTTATCACAGCAACAGATCAAACTGTGGACAACAGGTTACAGCAAAGAAGAGGAAGGAAAATCTCTTCTTTCGGTCTGATGCTATCTTATGGTAGCCTTAGCCTTTGGGTTGGTGGAAGCTAAGAAACCAAAGGCCTGTGAAGATAATCACAGGATGTTATGTCAGATGAGCAGGGATGAAGGAATGAATGACTACTGAAGAGATAAAGATAGCCCGAGGAAAACCATAAATAGGCTCTGGACCTGCAACATTCCAATCTCTCCGTAGTAATCAGTGAAGTTGTAATCGGTTAATCAGCCTTTAAAGGCTCAGTGTAAGGTGGTATTCTTTCTAGGCTCCCTCAGAGGACAAGGCATCATATTTTATGTACACAAGAGCCAAATATTAATTTTCCCTTATCGTTTGAAAGGTGCATTGCTAGAATCTGATGTAGAAGAGGCTGAATAGCAGACTGGAAAGCATCTTTAAGAAACAAAAATGGCTGGTAAAGCCTGTTAGTAATCTGTTAAACTCCACCTCCACAGTCACCTGGCAGTGGCCAGGTATGCTCCGCCCCACAGTTACCTGGCAACAGGCAGGTAACCCTACCCACTATAAAAGGGGCTGCTTGGCCCCCTCCTCTCTCTCTTGCTCCTCGACCCCATGCACCTGCAGGTTGTTGTCTCCCCTCCCCCCTTCTCTTTCCCCCTCTCTCCATGTGGTCATGGCCGGCCTCTATCCTCTCTACTCTTCTCTCTCTCCTGCTCTCCCACCCTCTTAATAAACCTCCCCTCGTGGAACCATCTTGGCCTGCTGTGATCCGTTACAAGCTGCGCATGGAAATCCTTTTAAAGCCATTAAGGGAAAACCTCCTGGACCACAGATAACCTTAAAGCCTAGCCATTATGAACTGGGTTTAATATATATTTATTTTTTCTCTGTATTTGACTAGTACGTAACATAGCTAATATGCCTAAGAATATAATAATTGAAAATACTGTCTATCCCAACAATGTGAAGGTAAGAGAACTTGGTAATTTAACCAACCAAAATTCTGGTTTTTAAAAACAAACAAACAAAACAAAACTAGGTAGATTGTTTGGCTCTGTACCTGTGTGTATGTATTTGTATTGTATGAATTATTTCTGTTTGTATTAGGAATATTCAAACAAATCTATTATCTTTTTAATTTCAGGGTGGATTTTTGATGGCCAGTTTGATTTTATTTCTACATCCACATGGGAAGTGCCTAGTTATAGTTATTAGGAAAGACTGACCTTTGATAAGTATGTTATTGTTGATGTAGAAAACCTCAAACTCAGAGAATTGATGCTATAAAGGGGAGAACTCCCAACCACCAAGCCATCTCCTCAGTTCACAACCTAAATGTGGTTTCCTGGACCCACAAAGTGGAAGCAGACATGTGATTCCTAGAAGTATCCTCTACCTCCAAATGTGGCCTGTGGAACACAAATGTGTGTGCAAGCACGCGCCACATGCACACACACACATCTATGTAATTTTTTTTAATTAAAAAAATAGCAGTGGGGCTGGAGAGATGATTCAGTGGTTAAGAGCATTGACTACTCTTTCAGAGGTCCTGAGTTCAATTCCCAGCAACAACATAGTGGCTCACAACCATCTGTTATGGGATCCAATGCACTCTTCTGGTGTGTCTGAAGACAGAGACAGTGTAAGACAGTGTACACATATAGATAAAAATAAATAAATCTTTAAAAAAAATAGCCATGGAGCTGGGTGTGGCTTTTGGGAGATTGAGGCAGGAAGATCCTCTGGTTCAAGGCTACATATTAAGTTCTAGACCAACATAGGATGTGACCCTATCTCCAAAACAGAAAACAACGAAAATAAACAACAACAAAACACTCACATATTACCAAGAGGAAAATAATCTTCCCTTGATGGGTCTGGGCAAAGCCCTGTGCCTCCCACTGCCCACCTTTTTGTGTAATCTGTAGCTATTGTT